AATTAAAAAAAATTTTTTTAATGACTATGGGGAATTTTAAAAAGGATCGTGGGATCCGGTAAAGGACTGGCTAGTATCCGAGGTGGAGATCACATCTTACAATCCTGACTGAATACCGAGAGATTTATGAGTACCGAGAGATTATACACTCGACGCTCGATACGGATCCGATGTACATAAACGTAGTGTAAAGAACTGGCTCGTAATCGATGTGGAGATCGCATCTTACAATCCTGACTGATACAGAGAGATGATGGGAAATTTTAGAAAATAACCTTGGGTTATTGTAATGGAGTTGGGGTCTCAACCTATAATCCTTCGTAATCCTCACAATCCTCGATATCTTCCCCAAATGCTTTTAATCTATCGATAGCTCTCTTAATACTCCAAATATCTCGACTGATGTCTCCCAGTAGAAAATATTCCATTTTCCAAATATTCATTCCATTTCCAAATATTCAAGATTGATCATATTCAAATATTAATTTATTTTTAGAGACCTAGATAGAGGAAGCTACAATAAAGTTGAAGTAAGTTGCTTAACACATACTCTAACTGAAATTTTAAATTAATTTAGATATCTGTTAATATAATCAATTTATTATTGGATAATTGTCGGAAGGTTTCAAGCTGGACAGTTTTAGTCCAAAATTATTTCGAAATGGTTAAGAGACTTTTACAGACAGAAGAAGAAAGATTAGAATCCTTGGGCACAGAATTATTTCAACGGTAAAAAAATAAGTAATGCTATTATCAAGTAGGTAAGAGTTGATAAGGGATGGGCTGTATTTTGAAAGGCGCAAAATAAAGGCGGAGGAAATGGAAGACTAAAACGGAAAACTTAAGACAAAAGAGGAAGACCAAAAAGTACTGAATTAGGCTGAAGACGGAAACTCTCTCTCATTCCTGGATAGATCATGTCTCCTCTATCTCATTCTCTTATCTCTACTTTATCTCATTCCTGGATAGCTCTATTTCATCCATTCCTGGTTTGGAACTTGAAAATCTCGATTTCTGTGGATAAATGAATAATCAGATGCTTCGGCTAAAATTAAGATCTCAACATGCTAATACCAACAATTCCGCCCATAAAAACCCCCATTTTCAAGAAAATACTAACCAAAAATTTAAAAAAATATTTACAAATTAAAGACATATTAATCTTCATTATGATGTTGGAAACACATTATATAAGGAATACAATATTATAGCCAAAAAGTTTGTTGAATTTATGGGAAGGGATAATGAAAATACTCGAAGATTGAATGGATTTACTGGAATTAGTGGTAAAATGTTTTAAAATTAAATTATAAAATTAATAAATTAAGTAATGTGCACAAATTTATTATTAAAAAATATTTCAAAAAATACCGATAAATGGAATATAATATTATTTAAGAAAATTTTAGAATTTTTACTTGGGGAATTACTTTATACTTTGAAAAAAGAAAATTATTATGTTGGTAGGTTTTGAATTAATTTTATAAATTAATTAATAAATCCCTTCTAATTTAATAATATTTTTAAAATTGTATTAATGCTCTGTGATAGTAACATCCCATATATTCAAAGAGAGTAAAATTACTAAAAAGTTAGATTTGTTTTTATACTAGTCGGAAGGTTTAGTCGTTTCTACTGCTTTTATACTATTTTCTAGTGAGAGGCCCAAAGGATATGGCCGGCTTTTTACCTAACTTCCGGTCCCAAATCCGGGGTTTTTCGCGTTAGTTAAATTATTTAGGGATCGTATTTACTCATAAAAATTCGGCAGAATCCGTTTCAGCTTGAACACCAAATTCGCTATTCCTTCTTATGCTCTATCTCTTTCCCTCTTCCTCAAAAGATCCCGGATCTGGCCGGATTTTACCTAACTTCCTGTCCTAAATCCGGGGGGTTTTCGAGTTATCAGGATTATTTCAGGATTGGAGTTATTCATAAACATTCGGCCGGATCCGTTTCAGCTTGAACGCCAAATTTTCTATTCCTTCTTCTTATGCTCTCTATCTCTCTTCCTTAAAAGATCCTCCAAATATTATTCAAAAATTCTGAATTTAGAAGAGAACTAACCTAATTTTTGTTTGATTTTCAGAAAAAACTAAACCCGAAACTGAACCAGAACCTACTGAACCTTTAGTTAATTTTAATTCAATAATTATTGCCTACATTCGCGAGTTGGTTATTCGATGCAATCTTGAGAATTTAGTGTATGTAATTTTGGAAAAATTAAGAAAATAATTTTTTTGATTTCCCCAGGATCATTGTAAACACAATATTTACCTATCTGAGTAATTCCAACTTGTGGAACTTTCAAAACGAATTTATTACAAATTTATTTATTACTATAATGGACGAATCTAGTGAAGAAAAATTGGATGTTTTCCTGCATGTATAGTAGAAATAATTATTTTTTAAATTAAAAATTTTAGCGTCTTATTATCCATATTAAAAATATACAGGAGAGTTCATCTACTTTTGAACTAGTTGGAATTGCTAAATTTATGGCAAATTTTGTTACCTTATTTGGTAAATGTTTTTAATTAAAAACAAGTCGGACAACAAAATTTTGCATTTCATAATGAGGATTGTATTTAATAGAGGGCATCATTCAGACAGATTTTTCACTACTTAGCCTACCAAAATTTAAAAATTATACCATGAACTGAGGAGTATTTAGTACTAAATAAAAGTATAATGAGAGATGAGAGAGAGATATACATATTTTAGGCAGCCCCACTCGAATCGGGAAACGGGAGTCGGGTCGGGAAATGATCTCGAAAGTCGGGAGTCGGGTGTCGGGATACCCGAACATCACTAGTATTTACTATTTGGGGAATTCATAATGAGGGGTATCCACCTCCTCTTGTGGCCAAAAAAGCTTTTAAAAATTATCATAAACATACAGGGGGTATAACGGTGCCCAACATTATTTTTCAAATTAATTTCAGAAAGACATCAAGAGACAGATTTACAAAAATCAGTAGTTTCATTTAGTCCAGACGCCTCAAAAATAAATACAAAAATAAAAAAGCAAAATTTTATGGATATTTTGGAATTAATCCAAATGTCAATTGAAATGAGTAAAACAAGAAATGATATAAAATTAATTGGGGAATATCAGGTAAATAGATAGAATTTTTAAAAATTAATCCTTTTAAGGATAAACTGATTGAAACAACAAATAAATTATCTTGTGCGATGCCTAATAAATTAAAAATAAATTCGGTAATTACTAGCGGTACTTCAATGCCTATTATGATTGCGGAAAAGCCGTTTTACTTGACGTAAGAAAATAGTGAAGAAAATTGGAGGTAATAGGAAGGCTTTAAAAATTATGAGAAACCAGAAGAATTCCGGAAAACAAATTTAAAAAAATTATATTTAATAATTCTGATTTGTAATTCTGATTAGTTTATTTTTATTCTGTTTGTATAATAAAATATAAAAATCAGAATTATATTTATTTTAGAAACCGGAAGTATAATTCTGATTATATTTTAGAATATAATATAATTGTAATTAATATAATATAATTGTAATATAATATAATTGTAATTCTGATGCTTAATTCTTATTATTTTATATTTCAGAGATAATTTCAGGGTATAATTTTATTCTGAATTTTATTTCTGAATTATGGAGTACTTATGTCGAAACCGAAAGTATTCCGGAAACTATATAATTGTAATTCTGATGCGTAATTCTGATTATTTTATTATTTCAGAATTAATTCCAGAATTTGTTCAGAAACTGGAAGTATCCCAGAAACTAATATATAATTTTAATTCTGATTTGTAATTCTGATTATTAGCATTTTTATATTGTTTGTACAATAAATTCAAAAATCAGAATTATTTATTTCAGATACCGGAATTATTCCGGAAACAATATAATTGTTATTCTGATGCATAATTATGCTTATTTTATTATTTCAGAATTTATTTCAGAATTAATTATTAATTTCATTATTCAGAATTAATTTTTATTTCAGAATTGTTTATGTATATTATTCATTTCAGAAACCAGAAGTTTCCGGAACCTAATATAATTGTAATTCTGATTATTTTAAATACAATATTATTATCTTAATAAAATATAAAAATCAGAATTATTAAACAGAACAGTTCCGGAATCTGATATACAATAATAATTATAATTCTGATTTTGTATTATCTAATAAAAAAATTAATTTGAGTCAATGACGTAACAACATTACACCAATATGTCCATGCAAAAACACAACTTTTCCGTTGATTGATAAATACCTATTCATATTCTACTCTTGTAAAAATAACAAAATAAAATTCAAAAGAAAATGCGCAATTGGCCAAACATTTAAAAAAATTTTTTTTCTAATTTTAATCTTCAACGTTAAAATATTCCCCTCTTTAGGTCAACTCAATCAATTTTGAGCAAGTTTAAATTTGTTCGTTAAATTGAAATTAAAACTTGTTTTGTGTTGTTCTAGGCAAAATAAAAGATTGAAATAATTTTGTTTAATTTAATATTTTTAATTGAAAATTTCATTTTTTAAAATAGTGTTTTAAGGTATTTAACCTTTTTTAATCATACATATGTATCAGGGATACTGTCGACAAGAAAACAAAATTTCGATTTCGTGAATCGGGAAATCACGACCCGAAAAACGTAGGGAGATCGTGAATTTAGGGAAATTGTGTATCTAGGTCGTTATGATCTCTAATATGTACACTCGGTCCCTAAAAGATAAACTCAATAGAAGATATGTACACACAATAGACTCTACGTCCATTTCAATATTCAAACCTGGGGGCTGTCGGAAATGATAAAGGTGCCGGAAATCGGAATTGTAGGAAATCGGGAATGGCTTAAAACGCAGAACTAGGAGATCAGATTTCTGAATGAACTCTGTCCAAAATCACTTGATATGTAGGTTGTTTAAGCGATACCTCCAATTTACTACAACAGATTATAAAACACACCTGTTAAGCCCCAAAGATGTAAAAGGTCCAAAAGTAATTAACTTTATAAAAAGATGTTTATTTTATTAATTTATCAATTATTGATAATTATAATATCATCAGAAGCTCAATTTAACCTGAATCAACTTGGACTTGGAAATTTAGGAGGGGCATTGAATGGGTTACTTGGGGGAGGACAGAGACCCCAACATGCACAACATAACCCTCCTAATCAGCAACATAATGGTAATAAATTTTAAAATTTTTACGAGGGCTTGGTATGGCTTATGGCTTAGGTATGGCTTCGTAGCCGTCTCCAGGAGCCGAAGCTAAAATTTTAATCCGATGCTAAGCACTCATATTTTCCCTTAATTAATGCCCATCCCGCCCTTTATATATATAAAAATAATTTTTTTTAAATTATTTTGGGTCGCCGAAATTTTGGAAAATTGTTTCATGGCTTTCCCAACAACAAAAATCGAGGATTTTCTGGCAACAAGCACTTCAAACAACCCAAACAACACAATCCAAACATATGGAATTTCCCAAATGGCCAGTTTATTTTTTAAATATTTAATAAAAATTTTTGAAATAAAGGCGGGATGGGCAATTTAATGGCTACTTTTTCTATTAATAAAATTTTTTATTAATTAAAAATCGTATTTTTAAGCCAATAATAATCCAAACATTGGCGGACAGGTAGAAGGCCTATTAAACCAATTTGGCCTAGGAAATCAACTTACACACCAAATTGGAGGTCTAATTAATGGAATATCTGCAAACTTTGTTAATTACTTAGAATTATTTTAAATTATCATATCTTAGTTCGCCCCGAATCCTAACTCTCCAATACCGCCACATGTGCAAAGAAGGATTATGCGCTTTTGCAGTAGAAATCCGAATCATCCCAAATGCCAGTGGGTTGATTTTTTTAACTAAATAATCGGTTCAGGTTCTATCATCAAGTCAGTCACATTTCCCGATTTTCACTGTCCTGGAAATTATAAAATTTTACTCGGCCCTTAAACAGAATTCCTTGTCATATCATATATAGCCTGGGAAAGCTCTCAAAACTCCCATACGCTTATCAGTACTTTTAAGATGGATCTGGCCGTTTTATTTATTAAAATTATTAGCTACTAAAATAAAATTTCCAGAGGCCACCCAGAATGGATACTTCCTCAAAATTCTATCCCAGCTGCTCCAAATGTCGGGAATGCTTTCGACTTGAATTCAATTTTCCCCAATCTTGTCAATTTCCACTTAACTCCAGTCCCTCAATTACCGCTTCAGAATCTTTTGAATGGAGGTATGAATTATTTTGAATGAGTATTCGAATAAAATATGATATTCAAGTTCCCAATATTCTACAGCAGGTTGTTGTCCCGTTAGTTGGGCAAATTACAGCAATTGCAAAACAGGCAATATTGGTAAATATTTGATGTATTATTAGGTTATTTTGAGGGTAAGAACATCTCTTAAGGTCCATCTAATAGATTTGAGGAACAGATGGAAGTAGGGATCTAAAATGTCGAGGAGAGGCATAGGGGATGTTTCAGATTGTTTCAGGTTTTCAGTGTGCTTCAGGAAGAGGGAGTGATGTGCTTTAGGAGGTTTCAGTGAGAGGGAGCGGGTTTCAGGGTTTCCGGGGTCTAAAAGTAGTTCACCTCAATGTATGAGATCACAAACTTTAAGTATTTCCGTTAAGAATATTTGTTCACAACGTGGGGATTGTCTAAAGCAGAAGCCTGAATCATTAAACATGCGTGCATCTATAGCTGAACAGGAGGCTGCTATTGCTAGAGCACACCAGTTTGTAGCTAAAATTAAAATAAAATAAAATTTTAAATAGTCCGGGAAGGCCTCAAGAACAATTAGACAATGAAGTCGAACTTCGCCTAGCTAGAACTTTTCAAGTAAAAAAGGCTCTTATAAGAAAGGCTGGTTTGGAAGGGCATGTATGTCAAGTCAAAAATTTTTGATTAAATAAAAATATGTAAAGGTTGAACCAGCTAATAATGGAGTATATCAAGAAGATATACTTCTAACTGAGCAACAAGCAAATGCCCTCATAAATCAAATTAACCAGAATTCTGTTTGTTAAAAATTTTAAATTTTTAATTTGGAAAAAATATTTCAGGCAGGTGTAGGAGTTGTTCCGCAACCTAACAGATTTAAAAGGGCAGGAAATTCGCTTTACTTGGAAGGTGTTCCTAACCAACAATGGCCTTTGGGACAGCCGATACAATACATGTTTGATGTCTCTGTGACATGTAAGCCTCATTGGCACTTTAATATGGAAACAAGGAAGTGTGCCGACAAAAAATAAATTTCCACGAATCCTATTACAGACCCAAAAGCCTTTTTCAAAATTAAAAACTAGCACGGAAGGTTTCTTGATAGATACAGTATTTTCTCTCAAATGTCATGGTATACTCTCTCTCTCTCCTATTTATAGTGGAAGCTGATAAAAACGCTGTTAGACAAGCTATCAACGAAATCCAATCTAAAGTACAATGTTTGAGCTTTCAAGAAGTTAATAGCAAACCAACAGGATCTCATTTATATTATGTGAAATATGCCCTTCCTGGCTTGTGAGTGAAGGCCAAAATTTTTTAAAAATATCTTCAATAAATTCAAGTTGTGGTCAAAGTTATGTTGGACGTTTAGATGTTGTTAACCCAATTTATTTGAGTTTTGGTTGTGGAAATCCAGCGGGCATTGCGTTACACGAAACATTACATGCCCTTGGATTGCAGCATGAACAGCTTAGAATAGGTGGATGGAAAAATTAAACTTCGGATCCTAATTTTATCGTTTATGCATGTAGAAGTCCTGGGATTTATTCTTCAATGGGTGTCATTGAGTGGGTCTCTAATAGGGATGAGCCTCTATATATCTAATAGGGATGAGCCTCTAATATGGAATTTAGTAAGGTTGTCGGATCCAGATATCCGGATCCAAAAAAGGCCGGATATCCGATAATTTCGCTTCGGATGCCGGATCCGAATACCCGAAGATTTCCAACTATCCGACAACCTTAGTTGTAATAGGCTTCCATTTAGCTGTTATTAGGCATGGGATACTAATATGCCTTTTATCAAGGATAGGATTCTAATAGGAAATTTACCTAAACTTTTTAAGATCGAGACCGTTTCATTACTATAAATTGGCAAAATGTCAATCCTCAAAAATACGATGCATTTGCCGTATCAGATGCTACAAAATTCACAAGTTATGGTAAGGGTTTTATTTTCTCTGCTGAAAAAACGCAAAATAAAATTATTAGGTGTACGCTACGATTACGGGTCTATTATGCATTATTCTAGTACCATAGCTACTCAAAATTTTGGGCAAAAAACAATGACAGCTAAAGTTTTTAGAATATATAAAAAGTTTTGTTTAATGACTAATTAATAGATCAATCCTCAAAGTAACGATCCTATGATGGGTCAAAGAAATGGACTCAGCGAAACAGACGTCGTTGAGCTTAGAAGAATGTATTGTATGCCTGGTGGGTTACAATTAAAGACCGGATTGTGAGTGTGTAGAATCGTACGAGATATTTAGAAAAAGCTCTATCTCAATAATCGAGATTTTTCGATATTGATAAATCGCTAATCAAGATAGAGATTAGCATGACGAAACCTCAATCACCAATCCATCGATCATATTAATACTGAATCCTCCTATATCCTTTTAAGCAAAAAGTACTCCAATCCCGAGAGATCCTCCCAATCCCACGATATCCTTTTAAACCCCAAAAGCATCTTAATCTCGATATCATCTTAATCCAACAAACCAATTTAGATTTTTTAGCGACGAAGGTGTAAAAATCTCGAAAAATATCGAACGAGGATCGTACGAGATATCTCGAAAAATCCTGATCTCGATAATCTAAATTCTCGTTTGAGATCTCTCATCAATCCAGTCTTTCGTTAAAACTTAAATATTTTTAAAACATATATTAAAAAATAGAATGTAAAGACAATAATGTATATTGTGGTATATGGGCAGTTAGTAATCTGTGTTATTCTCAAGACGGATTTGCGCAAGGATGGATGTTACAAAATTGCAGAAAATCCTGCTCATTTTGTGGAAATTAAATATAATGAACTGATATATTTTTTATAAGAATTTGTATAAATAAAAATTAGTTAAAGTCTAAAAAATCTTTATTTAATAAGCGCTAAAGATCGAGTTGGGTTGTAGCAAGGCCTGGGTTTTTCCTGTACCCAGAGTCCAGGTCCAGGCATTTTATGACCTTCCTGGGGTTTTCATGAGCCTGGGTTTTTCCTGGACTACAGGCCCAGGATCCGTCCCAGGTCAATAAATCAAACCCAGACCTCAAAAAGAGGCCCAGGCTTTTCAAAAATCTCGATCTCTATTGAGGACAGAATTTTAGATTCTATTTTTCTCTAGTTAAAAAAACTGTCTATTCACATGCCGTATTTGTAATTTGTATAGATATCATTGTAAAAATATTCAAGTTTTTATTTGAATCTCACGCAAAGTTTTACACCTTCCCTCCCATTAATAGTATTACCATGGAAACGCTAGCAGTCTATCTTATGAAATTATAAAATAAAAATAAATTTAAAGTGTTTCCTTGCCAAAATAAATTAAAACTAATAAAATGTCTAAGCTTGATGATGATCTAATAGCCCTAAATAAGAATATTGAAAATGATCTAGTAGCAACTTGGACAGTTCCAATGAGTGACAAAGTTTATAAAATAGAATTTGAGCATGGAACAACAACTGGAAAAAGAATTTTGAGGGTCAATGGAAAGGTAAGAATAAACTTTCGAAAATTGTGGGTATGTTGGGGTCTTGCAGGTTTCTTCGGGAGCTAGCTTCGGAGCCGGAGCTAATGTTTGAAAAGGCTGAAGATGGAGCCATAAAATGCCCAAACCCAAAAAATTTTAAATTTGTCTGCTAAGCTATTCACAAGTTCATCTAAAACCAATTGACGCATCTGTAGTCAGCAGGGAATGACGAAGATGCCAGAAATTGGAACTGAGAGAAATCGGAATTGGCTAAATATCGGAACTCGCATGTCCCAAAATTGGACGCATGTCCATTGCGACCAAATCATTCGACGCATGCCTAAAATAGAATCTTTTCCGCGACTTGAAAATTTCAAATAATTTAAAGTTGAGATTATAAATCGTTATAAATAATTTTAAGGAAATAATCAAACACGATTGGATGTTTAAGTTGGTGGGTAGAGAAATATTTGAATTAAATGGAGTTAAATGTTCGGTAGGTTTTTCAAAAATTTTTAAAATTAAACAGATTTAAAGGTCAATATTGAAGCTGTAGGAATTTTTGCTTACGAATATACCCTTCAGGTCGGAGGGAAAACTTATGAAAAATTTCGAGAACAACAAAAGAAGGCTTTACAGGTGTTTAAGAATAAATATAGTTAATATCAGAGTAGCACCCAAACCTTTCAGCGTAGGGAGTATCAGGGATCGGAGCTTGCCTGGAAGACATGTCGGGGTTCGGAGTCAGGGTTAATTTTAGGTTGGCGTTTGCTGAAGTAGAGACTTCGGAGTTTGATCGGGGCTTTACCGTAAAATCGTGGTGGTCGGAATTTCGGAGGACAGAGTGCCCTCAGATTTAAAAAATGCCCCCAGATTTAACCTTCAAAATAAGGCGATTTTGACCCAAAACCCTAAAATAAAAATTTATTATTTTTAAAATTTATTTAAAGATTTGGCTTGTTCGCATGGCAGAAGAGGAAATTAGAATATGCCTAGGTATCGTATTTTTGGGTAAAAATAATTTAATTTATTACTGTAGAAAAAGAAACATTGGATGTTTGGGTAAATGGTTCGAAAGTCGAAACAACTGTTTGTTCATTTGAAAAATTTTTAGGCCTCTAAAAAATTTTTAGAAGCCTTAAAATTAAAAAAAAAATTTTAAGGGAGAGTTTGTTGAGGAGGGCGGTACCAAAACACACTTTGAAATTGGGGCAGGAGCTAGTGCTTATATTATATCCCAGAGCAGTGGAAAAAGGCAAATTGGGTAGGAAATATAAGAAAGATAGAATGAAATCTAAAAAAAATTTTCAAAGACTAGTTCACCAACTTTATGTAAATGATGCGCTGATTAGACCGTGTGAGGGTAATGAAGATCAAGCTGTCATTACATCAATGGATAATGAAAAGTGATAAAGATTAAAATTAATTAGTAAATTTTAAAGTAAAAGACAATTTTAAATAAAATATGATTGTCCAAAAAGTTTTTTTGATATCTTAAATAAAAATGCAGTCTGAAATTTCAGATACCTCTTGTCACTGAAAAAATATTTTTTATAATCACTGCGAAATTAAATAGGGAGATAGTTTAGCTTAGACCAGGCATGGTCATGATACGGCTATGGATACAGATAATATCAAAATGCCTGCGGATATCCGCTGTATCCATCTCTATATATCCGCCATAAATATGCGGATACGGATACCAAGATCAGTATCCGTGATCAATCCTGGTTTAGGCCAGTGATAAACCAAATTTTAAAATGGGGTAAAGGGAAGAGCTGAATCTACTGCTCAGTAGTGATGATCGAAACACTTGGTCTCGGTTCTCGAGTCGGGAAATTTCCCGGGTTTTTGAGCTCTAGGTCTAAGGGTTGATAACCGGTCTCGACTCTCGTCTTCTTCTAACTCCTGACCATCACTACTGCTGAGGGCATTGACTAAATCTGAAATTTTTTCTTGCTATTATGAATAGTTGCTTGAAATTTAACTTTTATTTTCCAAATTTTAAGTCCATATTTAACTCAAAAAATCTTTAACAGATGTATTATGTAATAAACTTTTTAAAAAAGTTAAGGGAAGATGATAGAAAATCAGGAAAAACATTTCAAGTTTTTAAACAAAATTTTAATTTATTTCTCTCTCTAATTAGCTACTTATATAATACACTCTCTAATAGAGGCATTATTAAAATTTAAATCAATTGGCCATATGATAGGTCCTAAGACAATTAACAAATGTCTTTATTGTCTATAAACGTGAGTTGTGGATTGGAGTGGGGAGGGAGGGCGAGGGACTGAGGAGCGTGGAGGATAGGTAGGGGGAAGGAGGAGGGAGAGAGGATAAATGGTGGGGGGAAGGTGGGAGAAGGGAGGGAGTAAGGGGATAAATGGGGAGCGTGGCGGTGGAGGGAGAGGGGAAAGAGGGTGAGGGAGGAAGAAGTTATAGTTTGTCTTCAAAAGTCTATAAACGTGCTTATGAAATGGTCTTGGGAGGAGAGGGAGGGGGTGGAGGGCAAGGTCCGGAGGATGGGTAGGGGGACGGAGGAGGGAGAGAGGAAGAAGGAGGGGATATGGGGGGGGGGAGGGTAGAGAGTGGAAGGAGGGAGAGAGGAAGAAGTTGTAGTTTGTATCATAAATTTATTTATTTAAATTTATATTCTTCTCTTTCCCCTACGACATTCAAAAAAAATTTTTTTTCATGCCTTTTTTTAGCCCAATGCCTTTTTAAAATTCCCTCAGTAAGCAAAACCAAGTTGAAGATGTTTTTACTGAAATTTTCCCTTGTATATTCATTACTGTTTTTATTTACTTACACCCATGGAATTCAGGAAGAACATGGTGAGGTTGTAAAATCAAGTAAAGGTTGTAAAGTTTAATTTTGATTCTGTTGAAGAATTTCTAAACTTCCTAATAAAAATCCAGGCCCTTTAATGGAAGCGACTAGGCTACAGTTAGGATAGTGGGATCCAGGTTCGCGAGGGTGGAAATTTATTAGAGGTCCGAGAATGAGTATGAGGAGGTCTGGGATTTAATTTTTAGATTTATGTTGTTGAATTATATTGGTGTTCATTCAAAAAAAGTTAATAAAAATTTTTTTGGGGTTTGGGATAAAAATATAATTAAAAATTTTTAATAAAAATTTTTAAAAGAATAAAATTTTTTAAAATAATTCTTAATAAATTTATAAAATCCGGACCAAAGATGAAAATTCAGCGTCATATAAATCCAGTAAAACCGGACGAAAACTGAAAAATTAATTAAAACGAAGTCTTTTGTATTTTATCTTTGGATTTTAACTTTGAGAGTTTGATAAAATTAGAGAAGATTATCAATGTCCTTAAAATAACCCTTTTTTTTATGATTTTAGTGAAAGATCTTCGCCTATCATTGTTTTCAAATAAAGTTGGAGATGGCTTGCAATGTAGCCGTTGGTATCCAAATCATAAACTTGGAAACAAACCTTTATGGTCTATGCTAAAAGAAATCAAAGATGACAAGGAAAAGAAATCAGTAGATCGTTGGAATTTGATAAACAAATTGTTTTTGCCTCTTCCACAATGGCGCAGGGAAGAAACAGTATTAGTATACTGCATGAATGAGCTAAAAATGGAAGATGAAGTAATTTAAAAAGTTAAACCCTCCCTCGATTTTATACACTCCTTTGTAGTGTTGCGATGGAAGTTTCGGTTCCGGTTCCGGAAACAAAAAATTATATCCGGTTCAGGTTCCGGATTCGGTCAAAATTTCAAAATTTGCTTTCCTGTTTCGGCACAACAGGCGCAACACTACTCTTTGTGACTAAAAAATTTATCCTATATTGAGGTTTAAATTAGAGTTCAGAGGTATTGGGATTTAGAGAAAAACCCGGGATCGGGATTTTGGAATGGTGATCACGGATCCCGATTCGGGATCCGGGTTTGGGGCTGAAATAGGGATCGGGATTTGGAATGGAGATCCCGACCGGGATCCCGATCCAGCTGAACTCTAGTTTAAATAATGAGGTACCTCCACTCGCCCCCCTCACCTCCACAACAATTTAAAGAACATACATCTATTTTCCCAAAACTTCTTCCTCAAAACATATCAAAAACTTTAATTTATAGCTAAATTTGTCGAGCTGTCTCAACCATATTTTTGCTGAATTTAATCAGCCAGAAACTAATAACAAACACCTAAAATCCAAACACTTGAAATTGTTTAAAAACAGTATGAAAGCAAAAGAACGATCTAGATTGTTGGAATTGTTGATTAAAAACAGAAATCAGTCACTAGCTGAGAGGCTTTATTTCGCCTTAAATTCAGGTGCAATTAAAAAAAAATAAAATTGTGCCTTACTATAAGATACACTTGGACTTGAGTTATATAATGAAGAGTATTATGAATAGAGTCCAATAAAATCGGGCTAAGGATTTTGGAAGGGTATCGGGATAGGAGCTTTTTTTGTGGTTCCGAGACCATTATCACGTTACCGATGCCGAGTGCTAGAACTTTGTGGTTCCGAGAACCCCGATCATGTTACCGATACCGAGTGTTGTACAAAACTCCAATACCGAGTGTTGTATGTTGTATTCCGATCATGTTAGATCGGACTTGGCCTAATGAGAGATAGGGATTTATCTTTCTCGGGATCAGCAAAATCGGGATTCGAAAAACCGGGATAATCCCGATACCGCAGGATCCCTATACCGAAAAATTCTAACTATTAATAAGTCTATCGCCCACACCAAGCTATTTCTTAACAAAAAACTTATAAATTTGAAACATAAATGCTCGCCACACATTAAAATATACTGTAGAATATTTTTCTTTTTTAAATAATATTTTGCCATTTTATAATACTACCTAAATCAAAAAAATATTTTTTAAGTAGAATCAGATTTTGACATAATATATGACATCATTTTGGCCCGCACCAAATATGAATTGCACCAAATTATTGTCAAATATGATATTGTTTCTTCAAGTTTATTGAAGAATAAAGACTTTGAAAGTTTCAAAACAAAAATTAAAAATACGAACGAAGCAATTTCACAATTGGAAATTCATTTGCATTATAAAATGGCTAAGGAAAGGGCCGATGACCATAAAGAGATATGGCAAATTCTAATCAATCGAGTGAGATCTGTTTCCGACAAACTTATCTTTGATGAAGATGAAGTTCGAAAGGTATGGTAATTCTAAGAGATAGAGAGTTCTAAATAATACAAAGATAATTTCCGATATTTATTTTGATGGGTGCCAGTAGATAAAAATTATGGCTCACTAATATCCGTGTTCTTATATTGTCTTAAGATTGTGGATTGAGAAAAAAAGTTAGCCAAGCCTATGCCCAAGGTGAATTCTGATTAAAGCTGCTCACCCTTGAACCCTTGAATTCAAGGGTCCCTGCTCATTCTTGAATTCAAGTCTGAGATCACAACAAAATTAAGCAAAGTTTTGACAGCTGATCGTTTCCATGCCCGACTGATCGTTTCATTTTTGTTCTATTTTCTAGGAGGAGGGATCTCCTTGGAGAGGGGAGGATCTCCTTGGAGATGGGGAATCTCCTTGGGGAGGGGGGATTCTCTTATATTCCTTCTCTCATCTATAGAGACTTTTTATTATTTAAAAAATATATTCATCAGGTTTACTCCCGAATGAATTCATTATGTGATGAAACAACCAAGGAAAATGATCCTGGCATGCTTGTCCCGTTCTTCGAAACTCTCCTGCTTACTTTTGAATGCAAGTCTGAAATCATGACAGAATTAAGCAAAGATTTTGAAAAATGTAGAAAGTCTGTTGGGAAGGAAAGAAACATAATGGAAACGTTAATGGAGAGGTTTTGGAAACCGCAAAAATATATAAAAAGTATTTTATTAAGTTATAGCAAGGAAATTCCTGATTACATGAAAAGAATGATTGCTATAACTGGATTGGCAGGACAAAGAATGTATAATGAGGATATTGCTAAACGTATCAAGAGTTATATTGAGGGTCAAAATTATGAAGGTAATAAAGAACCTGATAGAAATAGAAGCGACTGAATTTCCATACTGAACGTTATTCCGTACTGAGTGAGACTAGTATGGAACTGGATATTAGTCTCACTCAGCTGAAATGAGACTAATATCCTCGACTCCGTCCTTGGCAGCTCGAAGTCGAGGATTGGCAGCTCGGATTCGAGTACAAGCGAGGCATCGAGGCAAATAACCGGCCTCGAATCGAGGCACAATAACCTGCCATTTTAAATTCCTAGCCGAGCTCCAGAGCAGGATTAGGAAGAAGGCTTCAAAGTCGGATCATAGAGCTGATTCTAAGAGCATACCAAATAATCCTCAACACAGAGAAAAGAGAGGCTCGCGATAACTTTTAATTTACAACGTAGCTCTGTGGCTAAAGAGTATATTTCAAACATTCCAAAATTAAGGTTTATTATCTCTCGTGGTAATTCATCATGGAAGTGATCTATTTGAAATTTTTAAAGATCAGAAAAATATAATTATCAAGCCAAAAATTAAAAATGATGTTTTTGGATTGAATTCCTACTTCTCATACAGCAAAACGAAAGATTTTATAAATTGCTACGAAGAAACAGAAAAAGAATACGAATGGGAAATGAAATTAGGAAGATTGGTTTATGAAAATCAAGGTATTTAACTTGGGGACGACAAAGAAAAAGTTAACAGACACCCACGATTTTTAGTTATCAACTGGTTTCGAGACAAGGGTTTCGGTTTTTGGCGGACCCTCGGTTTATGTTAAACATGACGATCTTCTACCCTAGGCTATGCTTTCAGTTCTTATTACCCTATACATGTCTTATGGTTAATCGAAACTGGCCACCGACCCCAAGAGTTCTAGCTGTCGACCCTGGCTTTGACCCCCATAAATTTCGGCTCTTCCTTAGCCTAATCCGGTTTGTGTCTTACAATTAAATAAAATAAGAATTTTTATAAAATTAAAGCAAAAATTTCATCAAACGATTGGTTGGGAAAAAGCAAATTTTGCATTAAATTTAAACAATTCGAAGAAAATTTTGAAGAGATTTATAATGAAAAATTAATTGAAACTAAAAATAATTTTGAAACTGTAGGGGAGTGGAAGAGAAATTCGATGGAAAAAAATATTGAAAAATTAAATAATGATTGTTTAAAGGTACGGAAATTTTTAGAAATAAACTTACTAATTTAATTTATAGATGAAGTTGGACACTAAAGGTAAAGAATTCATTCTTTTAAAATTATATGATTTTCTGATAAGATCTTAGTATGTGGATCAGGGATCAGATATCTTCCATTGTCGCTTTTATATTCAGTTTTTTATTCACGGTTTTCATAAGCTTTCATCTTTTAAAAATTTGTGAAGTCTCATCCCTTATGTAAATTTAAAAAGATTAGAGTCATCCTCTAGGGTGTTTTGTCCTTCAATTTTGGCGTAATGTTTACCAATTTTTGGCACTTTGCGTTATTTTTAAATTTGAAATTGAAGTTTTTCACATATAAAAAATGACATGCCAGGGATCTGATTGACTACTTTACGGTATTTTTCTAATTCAAACCTTACTGACAATCGATCTAAATGCACGTGATACTGGTTGTACATTGGGCTCTGATCCCAAAGGAATTGAAGCACAATAAAGATACATAAATTTATTTAGAAAAAGATCCTCGCCGTCCTCTACATTCGTATCCATTAAAAGAAGGTCCTAAATGCAGCCGTTGGTATCCGGATAGCATTGATCATAAATTTGGAAGGAAACCTTTATGGTCGATTCTAAATGAAATTCATAATGATAAAGAATTAAGTAAATCAACTAAAGGTATTTTTAAATTATTAAAAGTATTACTCGGTTTTGGGATTATCGGACCATTGTCTAAAAACGAGCCGATGTCATTGACCATGGACATGGGCTCGTTTCCAAAGTATTAGCCGATAACATCAATTTAAATCCTGGATCAGCAACCCTTCAAGATGTATTAAACCATAATAGGAATCTGGATTTTGAACGAGCTCTAGCTCTATGTTTAGTAGCGTGCCTTCTTCCTTCAAAAGTCATAACCTCCTCATTCATCTTGGAGTAGGGTTGACGCTTTATGGGCAATTTTGTATTGCAAAAACGTGATGAAACTTGAAACTGTAATTTATCAATAACCCACTAATATATTGATATTTTATTATTTTGTAGGATAATTTAAATGAATGTCTTAATAACCTTTTTGAAGAGTATAATTCAGAAATAAAAAGGTCTAAATTATTGGAATTGTTGATTGTTGATAAATCTGAAGTCTTAGCAGATCGTTTATTTCACACATTAAATTCAGGTTGCCTTTTAATAGAAAACATAGAAGATTTTAGCATGGACCTAGTCTAGTGCCATTCTTATGGTCTACTAATCGTAATTTAAGGAGGTGTATACCAAAAGATGTATCTGATATCCATATCAGAAAGATTCCGATATCTTAAGATTTTAGCATCAAGATATCCGAGTAGTTGATTGTCGACCTTATGTATAGCCTGACCTTGAGACTACCTAAATTCATGATTTTTATTTTGTTCCTTAATATGTTCTATCATCAAAATTAATAAGGATTTTCCGATATTTTTTAAAAATGTAGGAAAAATAGGCGAATTATTCAAAGGAGGGTTTTAAAATCTCTACGAAAGAGGGCAATCACTCCCTCACGGAAGAGGGTAATCACTAGAGGAGGGGTTATTATTTGAGGGAGAAAACTAATACATTTTAGAGAGGAAACTAATAGAGAGGAAACTAATACAAAAATGAGAAAAAATTTTTTTTGGACTAATACAGGTTTTATTAAAATCCGATCTTTATTAAATTGAGAAACACTAATTTAATGAATTAAATAAAAACATAAGCTTTTTCTCATTAAAGAAAGCCTTGATTTTGACATTCTGTACGACATTATTTTGGCTCGTCCTAAATTTGAACTTAAAAAGATTATTGAAATATATGATAGTGAGCCAGAAAAGGAACTGGATAAGGTAGAGGAAACGGACAAAAATGGGAGAAATTTTTTTGGAAATCCTTTTTGGAATAAAAAAGAGGATAAACAGCCAGAAAATCCATATGCAGATAAACGGGATACCAAAGAAGAGAAATTAAAATTGGGGAAACTTTTGCAAGATAAAAAGGAGGCTGATCAAGATAACAAAGAATTATGGGACATAATTATTAATAGAGTAAAATATGTTACTATAATGGATCCGTCTGGTTATGAAAACTTTGAAAAGGTTCAAAATTTTATGTATAATAGAAAACTGATTATAATTACGCCTTTTGGAGGCTGTTCTAGTGAAGAGGCTGGTTTGTGGAGATACGGGGATGGTGGTACGGGGACGGTGGCTCTTAACTTAAAACAGAAATTTTGTCCTAAAATGCGAAGTATTTTAAATAGAAAATATTAGCTAAATCCCCTCCATCTGCTGGTCAACTAAATCTCATAATTAGAAGCTTGTAAAAGATCACTATCTCTGTTAACTTTAGGCATAAAAGCATTTTGATAATTTGGGGAAATGTACGTATTATTATATGAATATGGGGGTCAGCTCGGACACGATCATAGTCTAAGAATACAATGATCTTTGGGTTTGGTATTCGGTAGCTATTTCTCTCCTTCAGCTTTATTCTGCGGCTGGGAGCGAACCAGAATCTTCATTAGACCGGACTAAGTGTTATCCATTACAACACTCCCTTACTGAACAGTCTTAGGAATTAACTAGCTATCTGCTTTAGACAATTACTTTTGCTATATAGATATCTAATGAAATCATCTCGTTCTGTGAGAATTTTGGCAAAAATATCGAAAATAAAAATTACAACGCATCAAATTTTATAAAATATTTTGCTCGTCTTCTAAGCATTTTTGAATTCAAATCAAAAAAAGCCGAAGAATTCGGCAAAAAATTTACAATGAAATGTAGAGGAATTATCAAAATAAAAAATCAAAATAATGAGATACTTCCTGAATACATCAAAAGAATGTTGATTATAACTGGATTAGCAGGAAAGGGGCAATATAACGAGGATATTGCTAACCGCATTAATTATTACAATGAAAAGCTTGATTATGAAGGTTTATGAAATTTTTAGATTTTAATTTGTTATTTTGATATGAGTATAAATTAGGGGTTATATGTATTAGGGATGTGGTGGATATCCAGGATATCCTGAAAATCACCGAATATACAGACCCGTCTTTACATGAGAAAAGGGACTTTCTCTGCAAGATCGGTCTTTATTTCAATTAGGGTAGCACCCCGTCTTCCGAAACCCGACCCAACCCCCGACGAATTTTTAGACAAAAACCCAGACCTGAACCCCGAAGACTCTACCCCGACAAACCCCGACGCTTAGCCACATGCGGGCAAAACCCCAACTCCAACTATTTTTTAGCAAAAACGCCGTCTCGAACCCCGAAGGATCCACGGCAAACCCCAATCCCTGACGATCCCGCACACATAGGCTCAGGGTTCTACCCTTATTTCAAATATAATTATTTTTCAAATTTAGCATTAATGTCCCTAGTCGTAATTCATCATGGAAGTGATTTATTATTGGCAACTAAACATTTGGATATAGGGATCACACAAGTTAAACTGAGTAACCACGATTTGTCAATTATGGGCGAAGATGAATTGGTCAAACAAAATAGAAAAAATCAAGAAAATTTGTTCGAATTAAAAAATAATTTGAGAAGACTTAGATTGAATAGAGAATTGAAAGGGATAAAATGGGAAGAGTCTAAATTTAAAATTGAACTGAAAGGATCAGGAAATGAGTTTGATAATACACTAAAAGAGGAATTTATTGAATTAAAATTCGATGAAATTTTAAACAAAATTTATTTGAAGCAAGTAGACTTGAACGAGCAAAGATTTAAAATTAAACCAGATGAAGGTACATTGAAGATAAAAAATGAAGAGGAATTGAAACAAGTTCTAGACAAGATTGAGATAATTAAGGAGAAAGAGAAGATGATGGTAGAATTGAAGAAAATTAATTTTGAAGAGGATGAAGAGAGAGAAAAAGGGTTTTTGAAGAAACTGGAAGGTGAGTTAGAGGGAATAAAGGATGAAGAAGATAATAAGATAAAACGATTGGAGGGGGAAAAAGAGGTGAAGGGGAAAGAAGTTAGAAATAAAAAGGAAGAATTGACAAAAAATTTTAAAAAAGAAGTTGAAAATATGAAGGAAGGATATAATAAAGAAATGGGAAGGATCAAAGAGGAAATGAAGTTGAAGGAGAGAGAGATGAAGAAGTTTGGGGAGATGGAAGATAAGAGTAAAAATGAGAAGGATAAGAAGAAGGTATTGGACAAAGAGATGGATTCTGAGGTTAAAATGAAGGATTCGGAGGTTAAAATGAATGATTTGGAGGTTAAAATGAAGGATTCGGAGGTTAAAATGAAGGATTCGGAGGTTAAAATGAAGGATTCAGAGGTTAAAGAGAAGGATTCGGAAGTTAAAATGAATGATTTGGAGGTTAAAATGAAGGATTCGGAGGTTAAAATGAAGGATTCGGAGGTTAAAATGAAGGATTCAGAGGTTAAAGAGAAGGATTCGGAAGTTAAAATGAAGGATTTGGAGGTTAAAATGAAGGATTCGGAGGTTAAAATGAAGGAGCTTGAAGATAGGAAGGATAACCTGAAGAAACTACATGAGGAAGAATTTAAAGAGAAAGATGCTAAATATTCTAAAGATTTGAAGAAATTGGACGATGAATTGAAAAATTTTGTGGATGAGAAATTAAAAGAGAAATTGAAGAATATTCGATCAAGAAAAAATTATCATTTAAAAATGAAGTATATCTGTGAAATGAAAATTGAAATTAAAGAAGAATTCAGAAGAATTAAGGAAGAGAAAATTGAAAAAGAAGAGGAGGAAGAAAATATGCGAAAAATACAAAAAGAAATTGAAAAAGGAATAAAAGAAGAGGGAAAACTGAAGGAAGAAATAGATAAATTGTCTGTTGAAGCAGATAAGATTTTAAGAGATTTGGGAAGATTTAAGCTAATTGAAAATGATAATGGCATTTTTTCATTTTTCAATTATGCAACGTCAAATAAATTTAATTCCAATTGCTATGGAGAAACAGAAAAGGAATATGAAATGGAGGTGAAATTGGGAAGTTTGGAATATGAACATAAAGGTAAATTAAAGGAGAAGCATGAATTAGAGCCCGGACCGTACCGTACTACGGCCGTATTTTTCGGTATTTATCGGTATTCCGTATCGGTAGTACGGCACGGAATACGGTACGGTAAAATTTTGAAGTTTATCGGTATTTATCGGTATCGGTATTTTTCGGTATTCCGTATCGGTAATACGGTACGGAAAAACTAAAATACCGATGATACCGACCGATGAAATTTTTCAAAATTTTATTATATTTTAAGTGAAAAAAGCTTCTTGGGCATTGAAAATTTCACAAAATTTTTGCCTGCGGCGCTATAATAGGATGAAATTCAACTTCTTGGACTTCCAAATTCTCATGATTTGGAATTCAAAATTTCAAATTCAGAAAAAGTAAGAAATATATCTTCTTGGTTTTTGAAAATTTCACAAGATTTCCGCCAAGCGGTGCTGAAAGTGTTGAGATCCGATGGACTGATATAGAGAGATTAGGAATAATTGAGGTGGATTTAGGGGAGTAAGAGATATATCGAGAGGGTCTGTGATGATTAAGTGGATTCGTGTGGATTAAGTGGATTTAATGGAGCTTACGTTCAAGTCTAGGGATTAAGAGATATCAGGCAAATCCTAAATATACGACTTTATCAAATTTATATTTAAAAATAATTATTTTTTAATAAATTAAATTTTTAAAAATACGGTACGGAATACCGATAAATTTTTATCGGTATTTATCGGTATCGGTATTTTTCGGTATTCAGTATCGGTAATACGGTACGGAAGAATTTTGAATTTTATCGGTATTTATCGGTATCGGTATTATACGGTAGTACGGCACGGAATACGGTACGGTACGAAATTCCGGGCTCTAGCATGAATTACATACATATAAATCTATAAAGTAAATATCCCTGTAGAAGCCCATGCGCTATATAAAGCTCAATTATAGACGCATGGGCATTATATTGGAATACTTATTGAAATTAAAAATAAAAGTTACAAGTGATTGAGATTTAGGGGCAAAATTGAGAAAATTCGTAGTCGTTAGAGGTGGCTCGGAACAGTCAGAGGTGTCGGAAATCAGAAGAACCGGAAATCGAAACTGGCTCAAAAGTCGGAACTTGAAAAACGGAAGTAAAATTTTTTTCGGAAATCGGAAGCCGGAATCCCAACCCAAATCTTCTAGTTGTGTAGATATCGTAGTAGCTTGACTATTTCGTTGGGATCTATAAACGAGAAAGACCTACAATGTATAATTGAAATGATGATTCAGAAGGATACCCGAGTTCTCAGTTTTTCTAGAAAAAGAGTCAAATTGAGCGAGTATTGAGATCGGCACATAGTGGCCACTAAAATTAAATGCTAATCTAGTAAAGTCATAATTATACTTTTTAAAGTTGTATTTAAAAAGAAAAATATGCTTAAACATTTAATTGAATGGGAAGCATTCTGTGAGGAAGTACAGGACTTTTCTGAAATTATGGGTACCAAATATTCCGAAAATGTAATAGAAAAAAGAAATGATTTTGAGACAATAGAAGAATGGATTAATGGACATTCAATCAACAAAAGAATTGAGAAATTGACAGAAGTTTGTCTGGAAGTTCAGAAGGTATACTATTGAAAAATTAGTTCGAGGGCCCTACAATTTTCTAAAATTTTTTTAGATAAATAACCCAATTGATCTTCTCTTCGCGGAATACAAACACAGTATACAACAAAATGAAGTTGATGATAAGAACGAACTGATAGCTAAACGTCTCCATTATATTCTAAATTCATGTGAGTTAATAAAAGCCTTTCTCACATGAATATATTACCAGTATGATTAATCTTGGTTATCTAATAATGTCTCTGGTTACCCAGCTAAGCTGTTTCGGTATACCCCTCTGGTCGGCGTTGGGCAGGAATTAATTCCCAAACTCTCGGTGTTCGACTAAACCCCTTTCCTAGCAGAAATAAAACTATTTTTTGATAAATATTAAAGGAGGGAGTTAATTGATAGATGAATAGGTTTCTCAATCCTAGATTGGGAGCACTTTTTCAGGAGTGGAGTGACTAACGCCCTCCTTCCCTAATACTATGATAAATTATTATTTTCCTTTTCATATAAGGCTGTAAATGACAGAAAATGACAATGAGTCTTACACCTTCTAAAAATTATTTGTAAATATTATTTCAGCACAAAAGATAGATTACGATGCATTGTACACTATAATTTTGGCCAGGAAAAAATCAGATTTAAAAGCTATTGTAAATAAATATGACAAATTTTATCCAAATACTGAAAAGAAAAGCATAATGCAAGAATACCTAAAGTTTGGAAATCACACTACTGATTCGAGTTTGATAAAACAATTAAAAGACAGTATGGAAAAAGAGAAAAAGTATAAAAAAGTTTGGGAAATCCTTATTAAGTATGTTAATGATACAGAGCATGACGACTTCAAAGGATACATTGAAGCAAAATACGAGAATAAACGTCCAGAATGTGTAAAAAGAATGCTGATTGAGACTCGTTTGGATGGGGAGGAATATAAAAAATATATTGTTAACCGTATAAAATTGTATGTTGAAAATGACAAATATGAAGGTATAATTTTTAAAGAGATTAAAACTCTCCAGCGAGAGACTGGAAGGATAATTGCCGTGTGAGGAATATATTTGAGAAATATAATTTGAGGAATATATTTGGAAATAAATAAAATTAAAAAATTAGCGTATACGGTAGCGTGAGACAAATGTGCACCTATCTATGAAATTTATTCTACAAATTTTACTAGGGAACGGAAAGTGCCCTGGAGAGATTTCTTCTAGTGAAGGAACAAAACCAGCTCCCTCCTAATAATAGTGTTTCTCCCCTTCTAAACGGGAAGGGGAGGCCTATTAATAGACCTTTTATAGAAATAATATAACTTAATATAAATCTCCTATAGAACCGAGCCTTTCATAGCATTTGCAATAAATTTAAATTTCCAAATTTAGAATTACTGTCTCTTCTAATAGTCGAAAATGGAAGAGATTTATTGGGGATTATAAAAAAGATGATTGAACAGAATGAATTGGGTATTAAATTTGAATCATTTAAAGAAATATTTGTCGAAAAATTTAAACAAAACGGAATAGAGATTGGAATTAATCAAAACAATGAAAATTTGGATGGGCAAGAAGTGAGTTATCCGTCATCTGATACTTCAAGTTATCCGCCATCTGATACTTCGAGTTATCCGCCATCTGATACTTTGAGTTATCCGACATCTGATACTTCGAGCCCGATTTCAGGAATCGAGTCATTAAAATTAAAGAGAGAGGATGAGAATTAATTGAGAGCTTGTGAGGCATTCTTGTATTATGTAAATATTTATTATGTAATTTTTTTCAAGCCCAACCTCAGTAATCGAGTCATTAAAATTCAAGAGAGAGGTGTAAGGGAGAGCATTGTGACCATTTAAATATTATGTAAATATACATTTATTATTACATATCCATATTAATTATTTTATTTACTCAAGTAAATACCCTGGGTACCTATTGTTTCAATCTCTCGCCAAGAGGATTCTTAGAAAGTAGGAAGGCTAAGTATAACTATTTTTATGAGCCTAATTATTTTTTCTGAAGCAGGATCAGGGAAATTTTGTCAGATTTATTCCTTGTTTGGGAAAATTTCCAGGAAAATGTCGGGTTTCGGGTGACCGATAACATTCCTGCTCTAAATGGAGGGGGCAATTATACATGTAAAGAAAGTATTTATTTGAGTAAATTTTTGAGTAATTTTTTTTTTTTTCTAATAGTGCACCGGTCGGTTTAAATTTCAACCTTCCTATAGAGGGTCTGTTTATTAGAAGGGGTGGTCTAATAGAGAAAGTCGCACTATTATAAGAATACAGTAATCCTTTTACTTTTTATTATCACCCCTGTATTTTAGCTTGTATAAAATTATGAATTGGATCGCGTATTTTAATTATCCCTCGGGAGCAGTGGTAACTTTATCTAGGATGATTTTAGAGAGAACTTTGAGTGTGGAAAACTGTAAAAAATCGCGCAGTAATAAAAAAAGCCATGTCAAAAGCCCAATTGTTCGGAAGCATAGGCTTCATGGACTCATAAACCTTCATGAAGTTTCATTGTTGGAACCAAGGTTTTGTTGGTGGAAACTAAACCTTGGTTCCTTGGTTATTGGTGGAACCACCTAAACCTTGGTTCTGGTGGAATCAGCTTAAGGGTATTGGTGGAACCAACCTAAACCTTGGTTCCACCAATAAAACTTCATTGGACATCCATTATAAATATAGAGCTTATTATGTAATCCCATATTGTTTTTATTTTTTCGTAGTCTTGTGTTTTGAATGCACTTTTAAAATAAAAATAAGTGTTGTGAAACATTGCCCTTATTAAGGACAGCTGACAGACATCTTTAAAAATTATTGACAGAGATATACGCGCGCCTAATTATTAAATAGCCGGATTCACTTTAATTCGCTTCCATTTTATTATTTTTAATTTAAAATTTTAATAAAGTAAAAATTTTTATAATAATAAATAAATATTAATTGAAAAATGTGGGGGATGTTTAGTTATTATTGAAAGTAATGGATAAATATGTTGATAAGCTTTAATAATTTTCCTTAGGTAGGGAATGGACAGTTGAATAAACATTTGCTATAAAACCAGTATTTGTTCTTGATTGAACAAGCTAGTGTTTTTCATTTCCATTGTTTTTGGGTAGAATATCCTCGGGATTCCAAATTTTTGAACTCGGGAATTTATTTTTAATCGGTTAGAGACTGATAAGGCTAGAAACCTGATCTAAGAATCAAGATATTGAATTGTAGATACGTCGAAGATTACCGAACTCGCTAACAAGGATTCTTGAAAGGGATAATGTCTTGGTCCCATTTCTGTTTGATATCTTAACATAAGAGATTTTTTCTTGAGTAATACCACCTAAAATTACTCGTCTATTATTTTTGTCAGAAATTTTATTATGAAATTATATTTTTCACTCCTCCCTATATTATTTGTTTGTTCAAATGGATTTTGGGATGTTAAAAATAATTGTGAGGAAAGTGAGGATGTAGGTAGTCAAGCTGGACAAACAATACATCCTCATATGTCTAGACAAAATAGCTTTGGTATGTTTTTATTATGGGCTAAAAAATTGCCAAAATTAAGCGACATCTATAACAGACAGCTTCATAGCTTTTCACCAAAGATTTGGGGTTGTCCCAATAGAAACTGCTAGTACTCTGCAATCCGCAAGTCCTAAAACTATTTAAATTACGCAATTATCTGTAAAGGAATGCTCTGCCCCGGACCTCAAATCATCACTCACGTACGCAAAAATGACTGTGTCAATCAGTGATGAAAATGTCGAAAAATAAGTAGGATTGAGTTTAGGAACGGGTTTCTTAAAATTTATCGGATCGGGTTCCGGGTTTATGTTCAAGAGAGCAGATATCAGGATTTGAGTTACTATTGTACACGTGTTCATGCTGTGGAAAAATTCATCGGATGGGAGATGAAATTTAACAATCACGGAATGAGACAATACCTAAGCACAACCGACTGTGCCACCATCCAACCCAATGAATATTTATTTTCATTTATATTCTTTCTGCGAGTGCGGACACAACAGTAATCTTTTTAAATCTAGCAACTAACAAATTTAAATATTAAAGTGACCTATTATAGACTGTATGTATATAATAACGATAATTAATTGCAGACCAACGCTACCCACTAACTCAGTATAAATTGACCGTAGACTTCAAATGTAGTCGTTTCTACCCAATTAATGATATCAACAGTGAAAGAAAATCATTGATATTAATTCTTAAAGAAATTAATTCAAGAACCAAAAAGATTAAAAAAGCAGATGATGACAGAATAATTGATAATATTCCGTGGATGAAAATTATGGAAGTATTTCTGCCTCTCCCACAATGGCGTAGAGCAGAACTACTACATGTATATTGCAAAGAAGTGTTGAGAATTTATAATGTAAGAAATTTTATTTATTACTAAGGGGTGGGGGGTTCGAGTTTTTAAGGCTTTAATAAAATAGAAAATTAAAAATTTAAGGAAAAGTTGGAAACATGCTTTGAAAAAATATTTGCTGATTATGATTCCTTTAAAAGTATGAGAAAGTATTTGTTGAAAAAGCTTATTAATGACAAAAACGAAGAGATGGCGAAAATTATTTATTATATTTTGAAAAAAGGTTGGTATATTTCTGATAATTACATCTAAATACTAATAAAAGCCTATAAAGCTTAAAGAAGCTTGGCTAGCAGTAGGTATGCCAAGTTATAAAAAGTGAGGTTCAAATGAATGCTGAGGTAGGAAAAAATAACAACGTAGTCTTTTTAGAAGCCAAGCCCTAGTAGAAGCCTACCCAAATCCGGACCCCTGGCAGAATAAGCCAGTCTTATATTAGAAAATTTATGGTGCATAAAGTAAAGTTGGAAGGGTGTTGGGGCAGAGGGATGCTCGTGCGTGGCCAGCGCACTCACCAACGAATCGGATCAACTCAACTATTCTTTCATTGCCGAAAGAGATAAACATAATTATAAATAAAAACTAGACTGTCAATAATATTTACTTCTCACATTTTAAAAATACAATTCTCATTCATAATAAAAATAGGAAGAAAAACTAACTGACTAACTAGGAATACAATTTATTATAAGTGATTAAAATGGGCAGGATTAATTATAAAATATATTGTGTAGGAGATATGACTTTTGTTGTTCTAGAGTAAGGAATTATTTAATATTAGGCCATTTAAGTCTTCATTACAATAAATTTGAAATATTGTATAATAAACAGATTCTGGCACTGTAAATGAAGAAGATTTTGATACTCTATATGACATTATCTTGGCACGTCCAAAATTTGAATTGAACAAAATTATTCTTTACTATGACAGAATCTTTGCAATGAGTATAATGGGCGATAGTAGAAAATATGAAGTATTTATACCTTACATGAAAAAAATGAGGGAAAATAACAATAAAATTTCGAATTTAGAAATTCATTTACATTACAATAAACATTTGGAAAAAAATAAAAACGAAAATGTCGAAATCTATGATATTCTTATTAGACGAGTTGAAACAAATGATGAATTATTCTCTAATGAAGTATTTAAAATGGTTCGCGTTTTCACGTATGCGATAGTTAGGCTTATATTGCTAACAAAGAGTGGGCCGAAGTACTGTATCAGTTGGATGTATTAGAATATAGAGGTCGGGTTTATCCTTCATTGGAACTCTCGGAAACCAGGCACCGGACCCGATTCCAAACCGAGATTTAGGATATCTAGGCTTTCTTCTGTTTTGGATATCCGGTTAACAAAAATTAAACCAACGGAAGAAAATATATCGGGTGATATGGCTTGGCTCTCATATTCAATCCCATCAAGGCTTTTGATATTTTACGAATGAGATCTGTTACGATGAGGTCTGGAATGAGATTAGTATTTGAGCAATCTGACGTCTCAAAGTCATAATTTAAAAATTTTTTACAGATTTCTAATCAGATAATATCATTCTGCGATAATATAAGCAACATTATAAAAGGAGATTTAAGTATTGATGAAAATGGAGTCGCATCTAGCTTCACTCACGCTTTTGCAGTACTCATAATAAATTCAGATTTCAAGTTGGGATGCGTTTCAGAATTTGCCAATGAATTTTATAATAAATGCATAGGAGAAGGTAAAGATTTTCAAGAAATTCAGAAAAGGAAGGCCAAATTACAGAGATCTATTACCATTGTTGGCGAATCTAAAGGGTAAAATAATACGTTCTCTAAAGAAATTTTTCTTATAATGAGGTATTTTAAATAGAAGATACCTCAGTATCTAACCAAGTTTCACGAGAAAATATTACTAGACAACTTCAAGTTGAGAGGGGGTTGATCACACGTTGAGATACGGTCTTGTGAAATTACCTAAGTTGGATAATAGCTTGAAAAGCTGCTTAGGTGATACCCTCTATTTAGCCACTCATTATACGTTACACTTTTTCCTGTTCCAAAAGTGTATCGTATAGTCAACCCCGATTACAATTAATTTTAAGAGATTACATTGTTTATTAAAGATTAGAACTTCCTGAATACATCAAAAGAATGTTAATTATAACCGGATTGGCAGGAAAAAAGAAGTACAGAGAGGACCTTGCAAACCGTATGAAACATTATATTGAGAAGGATAATATGAGTAATAAATTTTAATTATCGTAAATATCCTAAATACTCAATTAATTGACCTTACTGACCTCGTCAGTTATTGTTACAAACCTTCCACTCGGATGTAAATAATCAGTGGAGGTTTAAAAATTGAAAATAAGAGCGGATTGATCTACTTAGGTTGTGTCATAAATATTTAGCCACCTTGAGCAAAGTTAAATAAATACTTATTAAAATTAAACTAAATGTTTTCAGACTTAGAATTATATTTTTCTATGATCCTAAGAGAGTTGCCTATTTTCTGGCAAAAAATCAGAATCCTGGTATTAAGTTGGCATTAGTTAGAGGTGAAATACTAAAACTTGTATTTTTGAAACGAGGCAAATTCTTTTTGATTTTTCTTTTCAAAATTGATGAGTAAGAATGAAAATTTAAATAGATTCTGATAAAGCAGAATCTGTTGAATACAATGATATAAGAAATTCCCCTGGAAAACAACTGGCTGATTTTTTAGAGGGTCACGTTTGTGAAATACGGGCTAACATTATGCTGCTTTAGGATAACCCTCGCGCGAAAATGCCCAGCGTGGCCAGATCACCAGATTTTTCGATGGACTCGATCTATATGTGAATAATACAATTTGGGGGTAATAGTTTAGCCAGTTTAAACTAAATTCCAATGATTACCTCGCCGCGACACCACCAAATACATAACAAATCACGCTGTTGGACCAGTCTGGATTAGAGGTCAAAATTGATGGTTAGCTGGGATGAGCCGTTCCTTTTTGTTTACAGAATTCATGAAGGCAACCCACACTTCCTCATAGGTTAAGATTCGTTTCAAATAAGGAGCTTCATTGTGGCATTTAAGGGGTTGTTTTGCAAAAGTGACTTAGTGATTTTTTGATTTTGCGGCAATTCATGGGGTATCAATCGACTCTTCATAACTTGATACTCGCTTCAAGTAAAATTATGGAAATTTTTGTAAGTGAGCAGGTGAGTGCCTGCCCCAATATACACATTTTATTTTTTGGATTGGCTTTGATTCAGGGGAGAACGGAATTCTTATCTATCGTTGGTTGGCATCCAAGATGTTTTTTGTCTTTCAGCTCCTCTCTACCTTTCTTTTATTTGGAGACCCAACTTTTTTCTGTGGAATAGGAGATAACATCCTCTTACTTCGCTATGCATATTTTGCGCCATAATTCCTTTTCCGAATGTCCAAGTTCAATCTCATATTTGAACTGGACGCTAATTACATAATTTTGCATTAAACTTTAAAAATTCGTAAAAAATTTTTAAATGAAGAAAAAATTTCAAATCTTTCAGAAAATGAAAAAGGCATTATTGTGAATATATGACGAAAAAATTAAACAGATTGGAGATCTGACCATTGAGATATACATTTTCAAACTTTAATGATTTTAGGGGGGCTAAATATTTATGACACAACCTAAGTATTTAGCTCTGGAGGGATCAATTAATAGGGAGGGATAAATTAATGAGATTAATCCCTTCTCATATCTATTAATTTGAACGTAAATAGGGCACATGAAGCAAGGTATTATTGTTTCAAAGTATTTTTGTAATGTTTATAAATAGAAAGAGATCCATTACTAGATAGATAATTGATCAAGGGATCAATTAATCAAGTTGAGATTAGTATGATATAGAGCAATGATTGCTTCAATTTATCTCCGGAGGGGACAATTAATCAAGTTAGATCAATCTGTTGAAGTCAATCTGTTGAAATACAGTAGGTACTTGATAGAGTCCATTAATCGCTCAATCAAGTTATCTCTGAAGAGATCAATTAATTGTTTAAAAACGCTAAAGATATAGCCGGGCTGTTATGATACAATTAGAACAACGATCCAAAAATGGTAATTAGAATCATAAGCCGAATGACTATATATCATAGTAACACCAACTATAAGCCATAGGGATCAATTCATTTGAAGGGATATACATTACCCTTAATTTTTTATTTAAAACAGAATTAACGGACCTTATAGTAATTCACTATGGAAGGGATATGTTTCAGATACTAAAAAGTATGGATGAGTTGTTTGCAGAAGAAAAAATGAGTGAAGATTTAGCGTTGCGAGAATCGGTTGAATTAAAAAATAAGAATGTTCATTTGGATATAAAATTGAGAGAGGAAGAATTGAAGGATAAGGACAAGAAAGATGAATTGAAGTATAAGATTAAAGAGATTGAGTTGGGTAATGAAATTGAAAGAAAGAAATTGAGGGAAGTTGAATTGAAGAAAAAATTGAAGGAGGAAAAGAAGGTGGAAGAAAGATTGAGGAATAAAGTGAGTGAAGAGCAAATAGGCTTAATAAGAAGGAATGTGGAAGGGTTTAAAAAAGATTTGTTTGACTTAAAAAAAGATGTTTTTGAATTGAATATGAAACTGGAAGGAATGGAGGTGAAGAAAAAAATGAAGGATAATGCTTTGAAGATGGAGAGTTTAGAAGAGAAAGTAAAAAATGAAAAACGGGAAGAGCTGAAGAAAGGTTTAGAGGAGGACTTGAAGAAACTAAAATTGGAGAGAGAAGAGTTGGAAAAAAAGCTGGAACAAACTCAACTGAAAAAGAATCATGGAAAGGCTAAATGGAAAATTGACGAATTGAAAAGCAAGAGGTACAACTAGAATATTCTAACTAATCGTTACTTCCTATTGATCAAGTGTATCATTACTCCAAGACAGACCCGCAGGGGAGACAGACCAGCAGCAAGTGCGGATCCATAGTTTTAAGCTTTCAATTTCGTGTGACATACAGAAATAATGGGGGGCAGACAAGGGGTAATGGGGGAGGTGGGGGTTGTATGGGGGGGGGGGGGAGTAGTTGGAGTAGTTGGGGAGTTGGGGTGGGGGGGGGGGGGAGACAAGGGCCCCTATTAAACCTCTCGCAAACAAAACCGGAAAAATAGGAGAAATTTCGAAGTCACTTTTATCTGCCGCCTATTAGTTCAGCAGGAGTCGGTTTGATTCATAAAATTCTATAACATAGGTCAGATGAAGTGAAAATATTACAAGAAAAATCTAAACAAGAATTAGATCAGGCATATGAAGAGGAAGATAAATTGAAGAAGGAGATGAATATTAGGGAAGAAAAATTGAGAGAGGAATTCGAGGAAGAACTTGCTGAAGGAGATAAGAAAGGGTTAATAGAGCGATTAAATATCGGCGGAAGTAAAATAACGGAAGGACTTAAAAAATTGGATAAAGGAAAAAGGAAGAGCAAAAAAATGTTGAAGAAATTGAAAAAAGAATTGGACAAACTGACTTTAAATGAAACCAAATTGAAGGAGGAGCAAAATAAAAATAATGAGAAATTGTCGCGAGTTGAAGGAATATTGGCACATACTAAACAATTGAAAAAAATTGATGGAAACTATTACGGCTTACTCTCGTTTTTCAAATATACATTGTCTTCAAAATGTAGCAAGGCTTGTTGTGGAGAAATTGAAGAGGAATATGAATGGGAGCGAAGATTGGGAGAGTTGGAGTATGAGCATGAAGGTATATTGCGGGATCATAATGGGAACGGGATATATTAGATGCCTGACGGCAGTTGGTGAAGTCTGCTTTCTCGCAGGTTCTGTATTCATGACACTCTAACAGGTGTCTCTCTTACATAGAAGGAAATCTGGTCCAGCTTTTACTTATCTCAAGTCTATAAAGCTTACGCCAATCCCCACCGCCCGACCCTACATCCTCGATCATGTCCAATTTGATGTTAAAAACATTACAAAAAAGTGTAGAATTACAAAAAAGTGTAAAAAGTGTAGTCAAGGTGTATTTTATATGGAAGGTATCCCGCTTAGGCATCTCTACCGACATAATGTTGGAAGAAATTGTGGTTTAAAAATAAAGTTAAACTGTATTTTAATAAAATTATTAAGTGAAAATCGAAAAGAAAAATTCCGACAATTTGCTTGAAACCAAAAAACAATTTTGTGAAAAATTTGAAATTTTTAAACAAAAATTTGAAGAAAAATATCCAAAAAATGGAATAGAGAAAAGATTAGATTTTGAGATTGTGAGTGATTGGAAGGACGGAAATAAAGAAGATTCAATGGACAAACGAATTGATAAATTGATCAAGGAATGTTTAGAATTTAAAAAGGTGTTTAATAAAGTTTGGCTCTTAGTCCTTCCCTATATTTGCACCCTAGGAGCGTCGTTAAGAAGCGTTTCTTAATCACTAAGATTGACACAGTCTCGATAGGCCTAGGAGGGACAATAACTTCCTGAACTGAACTATATTAGCACCTCGACTCTCTTGGTTTAGTTACACAACAATAACATTAAATGCTAAGTTGAAATTTGAGACGAGATCTTGAACGAAAATCACGGTTATTGTCATTGAAATATTTCGTGCCATCTATCTCGATTTACTTAGGACACTCCAATTACTACCCAATCCATTTATTAGCAAGGGAATTTAAATCTCGGAGGTCCTGAGGCTATAATAAGTAGTTTTTTACTACTTATATTTTGACCGGAACCGGATCCAATTTGAATTCAGGTTCCCGGAACCGGACCAAAAAAACGCCGGAACCTTCCGGAACCGGAACCGAAACTTCAGGCGAAACTTTAATAATAAGCCGGTTCCGACCTTTACCGGTTCCAAGGTTCCGGCCCTCCAGACCTTTGCCGGTTCCATGGTTCCACTTGCAGAACCGGTTCCGTAACCGGAACTGGAACCTTTCCATTATTGGTAATAAGTGTTGTTTTACAAACATTATTAATCAAATACTATTTAACTGTTAAGATGCAGAAGCCTGATGCAAAAAACAAACAGCCATCTGTTTCTGAAGAATATTTTGATTCCGAGGAAGCTTTTGAAAATGAAGAAAAACAATTTGGCGTTAAAAAATTTTTTTCAAAATATTTAAAAAATTAGTAAATTTTAAATTCATTGCAAAAGAATTGTATTAAATTTGTAATTGATAAACATTTTGAGATTTAAATTCTTTCACTTGGAGTTTATAAATAAATTCAACAAACATCAAATTTAAGGGGATTCAACAAACATTTAAAACCACGTGTTTATTAAAATGCCCAGCACCTCGTGTTTTTTCATGCGAGTGCGTAAAGAGACTTGGCCTTCGACCTCTATGAGGGATTGAGAGTAAGGAGAGACTTGCTTGTCAATATTCAGGCATTCGCTAGATAGACAAAATAAATTTTTACCTCTATCTCCGACTCTCAATAATATGTATGTGTAGAAAAATGCAACTTAAAGTTTTCTTGAGAAAAAGTTTTTTAAAATAAATCTTCAATTATTCACGAACAATTTTGATAATTGCATAGCGTCCGAGCAACATAAGAATTGAAAAAAACACTCCTTAAACCTCTCTCGAAAATATAAATACCCCCAAACTCTCGATTTTTCAATTACCCGCTCTCCCCTCTCATTTTTCCGCTGACTCATTTTTCCTCTATAACTCCTGTCTTCATGGGCATCAAACTACATTCTTGTCCAAAAATAGAAAAATTTAAATCTTGCGACTTCGCGACGCATCCTCCTCCCCATAAATTCAATCACGCTGCTCTCCTCTCTTAATCGAGCAAATCCCCTCAACCTCTCTCCTCATCACTAAAAAATTTGCCCATCCTGCCTTGCCTTACCTCCTTAAAAATTAATAATTTTTAATGACAGCCTTTTAAAAATTTTCTCTATATACACAGTCTACAATCAAGCTCCCCTCCATATTTTTACATAATTTTTTATTAACTCCCCTCATAGGCAGCTTCTCATTTAAATTTTCTAAATTTATTAAAGTTCTTCAACAACCTATGCGTCTGTTAAAACTGTTTCTTTTATTTAAATTAATTTTATTTGTTTGTTTGAGTGATTGTGCTCGAGATGATAAAGCGGAATCTTCTGGGGCCTCTAAAGATGGTAGGTCATTAATACAAGCAACCATCTTCTATTTAGTTACATTATGTCGATGTATATCAGGGATGGATCGGATACACCCTAAACTCCTAGAACACCCTAGAATTATTAAAAATTAAAATATTTGTTAAATCGAAAAATTTATTTTTTCATCCTAAAAAAGTTGGAGCTTCTGAAGCCGATTCATCCATAATGTAGATGCATATAGCACACATCCTGGAGACCATAGCAAGCTTTTAAAAGGTTTCAAAACGCAAAATATGTATAGTGAGAGTTGCTTCTATGGATGCGTCTAGAGAGCATACAGTTCTTAACTATCTAGAAGCACCCATTAGGGGAAATAAGCTTTTATCCAGTGAAATACGATAATCCATAAATTTATTTTTGTTTTAAAATTCTCAGTTCCGCAACTTCCACCATATGGTTTACATGAATGTAGCCGTTTCCATACAAATACTGAAGGTAAAGATGGAAGGAAAACTTTGGTTTCAATTCTCAAAGATATCAAAACATCGGAACAACCAAAAGAAACTCAGTGGTATTGGATAAACAAATTGTTTTTGCCTCTTCCACAGTGGCGTAGAGAGGAAACAGCATTATTATACTGCAAGAATGAGTTGGAAGTGGAAGTTGAAGTAATTTATTTAAAAAAAATAAACTCGGATGATTTTTTTATATAAATAAGCTATGGGAAAATTGATGCCTCGCCAAGGCTGGTAACCTCGCTGATTTTTCAACCTTAACTTTGATTTACCTGAACACGACCTCGAACCTCGACCATAATCGTCAAGAGGATTAAGGCTCCCTAAGAATTGATATTTTTGTATTTGAGATTGTTCTATTAAAAGATGTTTTTTAACAGCTGGTGAAGTTAGCTTAAAACCTTCTTTACTGATTTGATTTATCAAAAACAAGTCCCTAAATACCTAATTTAAACATCTTGTTAATTTATAGTATGATTTGTCCATTTGTCTTCAATATATTTTTGAAAAATTAAATCTGCCAGAAAATAAACAACGAAGATTCAAATTGTTTGAATGGTTTAAAGAACAGAGTATTAAAAAAGAATCCCCAATGTATGAAGAGTTTAAAGACGGTATGATAGCAAAAGAACAATCTAAATTATTGGAATTGCTGATTAAAGACAGAAATGAATCACTCGCTTTTCTACTTCGTTACACCTTGTATTCAAGTGAAATTTAAACAGATTTAATTTTAAAAATCCAAAAAATATTTTTTAGCTTTTCCACCAAAGTTTGATATTTTATACGAAATTATTTTGGCACGCCCATATTTCGAGTTGAAAAAAATTATTGAACATTATGATATAATTACGGGTTCAAGATTGGAAACAGTTTTATTTGATAAAAAAGAGTCTGCTGAACATGATAATGTGAATGTTGAGATTTGGAATATTTTATTTAAGCGAGTCGAGTCTGTTGAGAAAAATACAACTTTGGACGCACATGAATTTAAGGAGGTAGGTAATTCAAAGTTAGGGAAGAATAGCATGAGGTGACACTCTCTCTCTGTATCTCTGTCTCTCTCTGTCTCTCTCTCTGTCTCATTTTCTCTATCTCTGTCTCTCTGTCTCTCTCTCTCTCTCTCTCTGTTTCTCTCTCTCTGTTTCTCTCTCTGTCTTTGTCTCTCTCTCTATGTCTCTCTCTCTCTCTGCCTCTCTCTCTATCTCTCTGTCTCTCTATCGCTCTGTCACTCTCTCTCCATCCCTCTCCAAAACACTGCCAAATCGGCCGTGTTTTGATAATTAAGGACCACACATGCAATGATAGCCCGAATATGACCATTGTGGCTCTAAAATTCAATAAAAATCTGAAAAGATTATTAAAGTGACAGCCTGTTTTGGAGTGTCAGATGGAATCCACTAACGAAACTTTTAATTTTCGAACGCCCAAGGTTCTAATCACTCTCCAAATCTAACTTTCAGAATCCTAAAAACACTCTATAATATTATCTTTATTAATATTTTTCTTTTAATTTCGTTAATTTAATATTTTTAGATTGCTGATAAGACAAATTCACTCTGTGAAAAATTAAAAGAAAAATATAATGTTCTCACTCAAGAGGAATTATTACCATTAACCACCTTACTAGAAATACTCGTAAGCTCTTTCCAACCAAATGCTGAAGTGTTTAGCGATAAATTTAAAACATGTGGGAAAATATTTTTTAACGCAAAGCCTCCACACAATCATGATAATGGGTAAAATTTTACTATTAAACATTCAAAAATCGCATTAAAAACGTATGTTTCTTGCATAGTCCGACGTAGAATTGTTGAATATTTTCATCAAAAGTAGACCATTTCAATATGCCTCATTAGAAGGATTTTGACTCCAAAATGACTCCAGAGTGAACTCACCAATATCACCCTTAAACCATCACCTCTATACCCTCCAACGATATCCCTCTTAAACCGTTACTTGATATTTATATTAGAACCTCCTTCGTTCTTTCATTTACCCTCACAATATGCCTCTTAAACCCACATAATATTATATATCCCTATTAAACCCTAAATATTTAAGGAGATATTAGGAGATTTGAACGATTTCAGGGCCTTCGAGAATTCAACATAATTTTAAATAACTTTTTACAGTATCAAACTTCCTGAATATATACAAAGGATGTTAAAAATAACCAAATTGGTAGGAAGTGGGACCTACTTTAAGGATATTGCTAAACGGACAATAGAATATATTGAAAATGGAAAATATGATGGTGAATTATTTTAAATAAAACCCCATCCCCTACGATTTTCTTGGCAGAAACCCCGACAGAACCCCCTACTTCTAACTAAGCTTAATAATAAAATTTTAAAACAGAATTGTTGACTCTTGTGGTAGTTCATCATGGAAGTGATTTTGTTAAAATTGCAAGGATTTTGAAGAGAATGAGTTTTAAGACGGAAAATTTAAAAAATGATGTGTTCGGTTTGGATATGTATTTTAAATTTATTTTGTTGGAAGATGGAGAATATGAAGAATTTGAGGAGGAGTATGAAGGCGAAGAACATGTTGAAGAAAGTGATGATTCTGAAACGAGCGATGATTCTGATGACGACACCTTATCTTCAAATTTAATGTGCTTATCTTATACCGAGAAAGAATATGAAACTGAGATGACAATGGGAAACTTAGAATATGATTGGAGCGGTACTTTTTAATTTTTGCTCGTAAATTTCAAATAGTTTGAATTTATAATTAAAATTTAAAGCAAACTCACAGTTTAATAATTGGCTTAAATTAAATAAAATTTGTCAAGAAGAATTGAAAAATTTTGGAAATGATCTATGCAAAGAAATTATGCAGACAAGAAAAGATTTCGAAACTGTTGAAGAATGGAAGAATGGAACCCATGAAAATTCTATTTCGAGTAGATTCGGAAAATTAATAAAGGAATGCGGCGAGTTAAAAAAGGTAAAGGAGGATATAGATAGTTGATATGTATAATTAGGGTATATGTGGACAGATAAGGGTATATGAAAGCATTTAGGACGGATATAGACAGATATTGCTTAAAATTCCGGATTACGTTATTGCCTGCTTTTATTCAATAAATAAGGTTGGCGTTTCCTGATAAATCTTCGTATCAGGAACGGATATCCAATCAAGTTTTTCCAGATATCTCATGAACCTTACTCTATGATAGATAGTGGTTCCTATATATAAAATCAGTTATATACTGGCTAATAATGCAGGGGAGCGGGTGTATAAGTGTGGGCTTGTCGTTTTATATTTAAAATTTGAAATTTTTCTTTTTATAGTTGATGACTGAAAAATCAGGTAATTTACTAACTAGTTACTATATGTGTTAAAAACGATAAAATATTAATTTCCTAGATTTTACATGTAGCCGTTATTATCCTATTACTGATCCAAACAATGATGGATCCAAATCTTTGTTGAGAATTTTGGAATCTATTCAAATTTTGTCGGTTTCGAAAGTGCCGCGTGAAGTAGATCGCATGAAAGAAGACAAGAAGTTTCGTTGGCAGTTACTAAATAAATTATTTTTGCCGCTTCCCCAATGGCGTAGGCAAGAAACGGCCCAATTGTATTGCGAAAAGGTGTATAACATTCATGTAAGTAATATTATTAGATTTTAATGCTTAGATTGTCTTCAAACTCTTGACAGGTGAAAACGAAGAAAACGATCTTTAAGAAAACTTTATTATTTCTCTGAGACTCTTTCACATTTAATTACCCTTTCTTAGATAATTACCCCTCTACCCAAGATTAATTAACTCTTCAGCAAAGGTGATTGAAATATTAATCATCCTATGTAACTGAATGATAAATACTATCATTTTTAAAAGAGTCCTGTACAGTGCTGGGTATTTGCCATTTGTTGGCTCCGGGCCTTCAAAATGTTGGCTCCGGCTCCAGCTCCGGGCTCTGGGTCTAGCTCCTGGAGCCATGTCATACCGAAAAAGAAATAGTCGTTTCTCTCACTCTTATTTTGACCCCATATATTAATTTCTCATCTCTTTATATTGTAAACCCCTCCCCATTCAATTTTCGGCTGTTGTTATTTTATTAAAGAGAAAAGTAAAAGAGTTTATTTGTGTGTTGTGAAATTAAGTAAAAAGGGTAAGGACATAACCCGTTAAGTCCTACAGCCATATCCAGCACTGGTTCTGTACAGTGCTGGGATTCCAGCTCCGGAAGTAGCTACAAAAACTCATGTCCACTTTGATAATAAATACAAATATTGAGAGAGATTATTGAGAAGCAATAGAGCTTAAATTCAATTTTGCTTATACACTAATTTTCATCTTTAAAGGGAAATATAACAAGCTGCCTTAACGCTCTTTTTTATCCCGTTACTCAATATGAAGAGCGTAAAGGCACATTGTTAAAATTGTTGATTGACGACAGAAGCAAATCCCTAGCTGAGAGATTTTATTCCACCTTAAAATCAGGCGAGATTTAAAGTTAAAATTAATTGAAAAATAAGATATTTATAGGTGATCCAATAGATTTTGACATTTTGTTTGAAATTATTTTGGCAAGCCCAAGATTTGAATTGAAACAGATCATTAACATGTTTGATAAAGTGTTATTAGAGCATGATATAGTAAAGTATGAAGGATTTGAGAAAATGAAGGAAATGAAGAAAAATAAGGAAGTTTCAAAGTTATATGATTATCTAACTTATCAACAATCCTTGACAATACATCAGAGAGAGATGACAGAGATATTGGAAATTTTGATTAAACGAGTCGAATCTTTCCAAAATGACAAATTTTTTGGTGGAGAATTTCATGAGGTTAGAGAACGTTGTTAACTTATACAGGGTGCGGGAAATTTAGCACTGGGCAGTCATCCACACCAAAACCCTAACCGCTTACTGTTGCTATAACCTCTCATACAGTTAATACCACTGAGATCTCCTTTACTTTTAAAAATATCAAGACTCCCTCAAATAATAATAGAATTTAAAGTTTAATAATAGCTTTAAAGTCAAATAAAATATTTTTATTTTTGTAGATTTCTAACAAAATCAAAGAATTCTGCAATAATCCAAGCATGGATAACGAATTAACTATAGCTTTAGAAAATATCATCGTAAAAATTGAATTTAAGTCAGATATCGCTGCTGCGTTTGTGAAAGATTTACCAATGACCTGCATGAGAAAAATTTTGAATAATCAACGGTAATGTCTTTCGGGTAACTGGGAAGCATGATAATTAGGTTCAAAACCCTTCACTGCCGGATCGGGAATCTCTACCGGATCAGGAAGCTCTTTCTGGGATGTTTAGGATGTAGCGAAATGCCGCAAGCTTACCGAGTATCGTATACGGGTAGAGACGTTGTGATCTCTAACGAATAGAGCAAAATTAAGACTGTAAAACCTATTACTTATTAGATTGCCTGAGTACATTAAAAGAATGTTGATTGTAACTGGATTTGCTGGAAAGAAACAATATTATGAGGATATTGTTAAACGAATTATAAATTATAATGAGAATGGAAAATATGAAGGTGATAATTTATATTCATAAATAGCAGTTAACATAAGATATTGTGTTCTACATGTTTTATGTTAAATCAGCTAGAAGGCCAGAATATTGCCAGTAATATGTGTGCCATAAAAACACAGATAAACACAGCTTCTTAAACACATTTATGTGACAAATCGAATATCCGGGATCCTGAAAACCCAATGGGATAATCTTTAAATCAGGTAATCCCGTTTGTAGCTTATTATCTGGGATTCCAGGACGGAGTCCCAGAAATCTATCACAAGAGAGTTTTTGGTTTTCACTTAAAATTACAGTAAGATAGTTATATCCAAGTAAATTCCTTAATTTAATTCAGAATTATTATCTATGGTTGTAATCCATTTTGGAAATGATTTCTCAACAATAATTGCAAAAATGAAACAGAAGTTAAATGAAAATAATGGAAAAATGGAAAAATTAGAAGATGAAATTGAAGAAATAACAGCAAAAGATAGGGAATTAACTCTGAAAAAAACAAAAGAATTGGAGAAGAAATTGAAGGAATTGAGAGCAAAAAAAGAAAAACAGGGAGAAACAAGTATTGTTGAAGAAAATAATGAGGAAGAAGAAAAATTAAAAAATGAATTGGAGGAAATAAAAATTAAAAATAGTTTAAAAGCACAATTTAGAGAACACGATGGGAAATTTTCAACAAAAAAAGAAGCTAAAGATGAATTAGCAATGAGCGCAAAAGAGAAGGAAATATATCAGAATGAAAAATTAAAGGAAGTCAATATGACTGAAGAAGAAAAATTAAAAAGGAAAGAAGAATCAGAAAAGGTGCGCAAATTGAAGGAGGAGGTAAAAGACGAAGAAAAAAATTTTGTGGAAAAAAATTCGGAGCTTTTAAAACTCAAAAATTTGCAAAACATGGATAAAGATAAGTTTGGCTTGTTATCTGTTTTTAATTACATGGTGATGATAAAAGAATTTAAAAAGGATGAGTGTTATGAAGAAACAGTGAAGGAATTTGAATTTGAGAGACAACTGGGAGTTTTGGAGTATGAATATGGTAAGAATATTTTTAATAAATAGTAAAAGATAAAAAATGTTATAAAAATTTCTATGAAATAGCAAACTTTACAACGTATTAAAAAATACATTAATTGAAACGTATAAAAGGAATATTTTGAAACGCAATGTAAATATAGTTTGATTATTCACTGTATATTTACCAAATTTTTTGTTTTGTGTTGACTCTCTTTTGTCGTAGAGGGTTAAAAAAGTTTCTTTCGACTCCCTTTTTAATAAATGATTATAAGATAGGTACAATTTTTTCAATCTCAAAGGTTTTCAAAAATTAGCATCGAATGCATATATTTAATTTTAATATTTTTCCATATACTAAAAACATTTTTAATAAAGCAAAAAATTAAATTGAATAAATTAAGATATATTAAACGAAACGGGAAGTTTCCGTTATTTACCTGAAAAGAGGATCCTCAACAAAAACATTGAAAATTTCTTAGAAAAATTTAAAAGTCAATATCACCCTCAAAGTAAAATTGATAAAAGAAAGGATTTTGTTACGTTGAAAGATTGGTTGAATGTAAGAAATGTGAATTCGATAGGAACCCGAGTTGAAAACTTAAAAAAGAAGTTGCCTGCAGTTCATCAATCACCAGCAGTTCCTCAAACATCAACTCTAACAAAACATTTGGATCATAAAAAGGAAAAACTTCTAAAGCAGAAGATTGTTAAGGATAGAGAAGGTAGCAGTATGCTACGTAGAGCTAAGAGTATGGACACAATTTCTACAAAAAATTTATCCGGAATAAACATTGGTAAAGAAAAAAAATTTTCAAAATCTGCATCTTTTCCTTCAAAAGATGAACAAAAGAAATTAGGGTTTCCAGCAGTTCATCATATTCAAACAGTTCCTCAAATATCAACTTCACCAAAACATTTGGATATTAAAAAGGAGAAACATCCAAAACAGAAGATTGGTGAACATAGAGGGGAAGGTAGCAGCATGCTACGTAGAGCTAAGAGTATGGACGAAATTTTTATGAAAAATTCACCCGGAATATTAAACATTGGAAATGATAAAAAATTTTCAAAATCTGCTTCCTTTCCTTCAAAAGATGAACAAAAGAAATTAGGGTTTGGTTTAATCAAATTTTTTATTTGGTCTTAACATTAGAGATCGGATCGAGAAGGAATTCGAAATGATACTAAAGTTCTGACGGTGGACTGCAGAAAATCCTAAAACCTCGATCCATGCTTGTGAGAATATATACATATTAGTAACAAATTGTGAAATCACATTATCCTAATATTTGAGAGAATGATTAATATTTCATTTATTTTAGCAAGGAAAAGTGATGTCTACATAAGGAGGATAAAGCTACAAAATGCACAGATTAAATGGAGCTACAAAATTATTGGAAAGATTATATATTTATTTTATTTTTTATTTTTATTTTTTTTAGATTTTAAATCACTTTATGGTTCCCAATCAGGATTTTTTATTTTTTACATTTATTAGTGGTTATGAATTTTTTTTCCTTTTAAGTCCCGTGTCTAACAAGTTTTCTAATTTTTCATATTATTTTTTGCGTCTCTTTATTATTTTCGCAGTAAAACTAGTGATTGAGGTTCGTACCGACCGTATTCGTTAACGTAAACCCAATTAATAATGGTATATACCGATTAACATAAAATGACACCGTATCATATACTACCGATAAATACGGAAAAAAACGGAAACATGTCGAGAAAAATGACAAGAAATACCAAACATGCAGTTGATATTACAATACCGTCGATCACTAGAGAAACAAAATGCGCGCGGCCAAGTAGGCGCAAAGCCATAACTTGCTAGAAAATTTCTGACATTAACAATTTTGGTACCAATCTCTTTAGTTCGACGAGAGAAATCGTTTAATACTAAATTTTGAAAGATTCGGAAATCTTGAAGCAAGTTATGGCTTTGCGCCTACTTGGCCGCGCGCCTACTTGGGCTGTACCCCAAAATTTGAATGCGAAAATGATCAATGCCTAGATCAAAACATAAACGACTTTCCAAATTTAACTTTATGATGAATTTTTTTATTTATTTAGATTAATTAGATTTTTTATTCATTCATGGATATTTTTATAAATTCATTCTTGAGTTTAAACAATTAACACCGTGATTATTAAAATGTCACTGCTGATTACCTCTCATTTTACTGAATCATTTTTATCGATAAAGGATTCATTTTTTGTATCGTTTTTATCAGGCATGTCTGCCATATCCTTCATAATAAAAGTTTGGAAACTAGTCACTTTTAGGATCATAATTATATCAAAATAGAATTTAATCAGCTGTTGATATAGTAATCGACAATAAAATTTCAATTTCGGGGCTGATCTTTGGAAAGGCACGCTATATTGTTTCCGTGGGTTTTAATTTTAGCGCTGCAAAGCTACGAAGCCGAAGAATATTTAAAAATATAAAGTTTTGTAATTAAAACTAAAAGTTATACTTGCAAATCCTATTTTCCTGAAACTTGTGCTATTATCAAAATTTCGTATTTATACATATGTATTATCATTTTTATGTGCAATATACAATTCTATATCATTAGAATACATTTTAACAGGTAAATATTAGGAAAATATTTCGGCAGATCATTAATGAAGTTATAAAAAAAAATTAAAAAGAGAATTGTTAATACCGTATTTATTCTAATAGAATGGCCGCCATTCTATTTTTCGATACCCTCAAAAAAGGGCCATTTAATTGGAGAGCCATTCAAATGGAGGGGCCATTCTATTAGAATAAATTTTCCTGATTCATCTTCATAAATTGAAAATGATCCAGTAAAGACATTAGATCAAAATTTTAAAAATTTTGTTGTGCGGTGCTAATTTGGGTTTCTATTATAGTTGACGAGTAGCTTCAAAAACAAGTCAATTTCTTAACTATTTTTAAATTTTCACTTAAAAATAAAACTTTTTTAAACAAAATCAATGCAGGCAGATTTCATAATCACGCGCTCTTTTCACTCATTTGATTGCGCTCCTCTCTTCTCCCCCTCCCTCCCTCCTCTATAATTAATGCCAGGCAGATTTCATAATCACGCGCTCCTTGCCCTCAACTAATTGCACTCCTCTCTATTCTCCCCATTCCCTCTCCCCTCTATAATAAATGCCAGCCAATGCTATGAAGCGCGTCCCTTCACCTCCATTGCATTCCTCTCTTCCCTCCCCACCTCTCCCCCCCCCTCTATAATTAATGCCAGCCAACGCTATGAAGCGCGCTCCTTCACCTCCATTGCATTCTTCTCTTCCCTCCCCTCCTCTCTATAATTAATGCCAGCCAACGCTATGAAGCGCACTCCTTCACCTCCAATAATTGAGGAGGTGAAGGAAGCGCGCTCCTTCTTTAAAGCGCGCTCCTTCTCTCCCCCTCTCTATAATTAATGCCAGTCAATGCTTTAATCGCGTCCTTTCAATCACTCTCTTCCCTGCCCCCTCCTCTATAATTAATGCCTGTCAATGCTATGAAGCGCGTCCCTTCACCTCTATTAATTGATTGCACTCTCCGCTCCCCTCTCTTTCATTAATGTCAGGCAATTCTTTAATCGCGTCCTTTCAATCACTTCATTTGCTTCCCCTCTAAACAGCCATTTTATTATAAAATTTTTTAAAAATTTAGACTCCCCTAATGTGTTTTTTAAAATTACTCCTTTTATTTAAACTTATTTTATTTGTTTGTTTGACTGAATGTGTTGAAAGAGATGATGCCGGACCTTTGGAAGCCTCTAAATATGGTGGGACAAAGAGTAAATTATTTCCATAAATAGAAGTATCTGTGATTTTATTTTTCTTCCGATTTAAGAGATATTAGAGTGAGTGTCTCTTTAGAGAGTTGTTTCTAGAAGACTCTTCCAGCAATTGAGGAGTGAATAAATAAATAAAAGTGTCTTTATATTAACCGAGATATATGTACATATTATAATTTATATTATAATTTATAATTGTTTAAAAATCTCAGTTCCGCAACCTCCATACGGTTTACATAAATGTAGCCGTTTCCACACAAATACCGAAGCAAAAGTCAATGGAAGGAAACCTTTGTTTTCAATTCTCAAAGAAATCATAACATCCCAACAACCAAAAGAAACTCGTTGGGATTGGATTAACAAACTGTTTTTGCCCATTCCGCAATGGCGTAGAGAGGAGACAGCATTATTATACTGCAAGAATGGGTTGAAAATGGAAGATGAAGTAATTTATTTTAGAAATTAAACTCGGCCCTCATTATACTGCTTTATCGTTAAAAAATTTTTTTAATTTACAGCAAAATTTGTCGAGTTGTCTTGAAGAAATCTTTAATGAATTTAATCAAAAACCATTGTCTGAATTATTAAAAAACAATATCGACGAAAAAAGAGAGCGATCTGAATTGTTGGAAGTGTTGATTAAAGACAGAAGCGAATCATTAGCTGAGAGGCTTTATTCCACCATAAATTCAAGTGCATTTAAAATTATTAATAAATATTGTAGACCCTCTATAAGATATAACAAGAGTGTGCCTAAATACCTATGTCTAGACATACCCATGATACACCGCTTACTAGTGGTAGTGAGGTTATCATTGATATGACCTTCCGGAATTTTAATGTTGACAGGCCCTTCTCTCTCTCTCTTTAATAGGACAGGCCCTTCTCTCTCTCTCTTTAATGAGGACAGGCCCTTCTCTCTCTCTTTAACGAGGACAGTCCCTTCTCTCTCCCTCTCTCACTCTTTAAGGAGGACAGGTCCTTCTCTCTAATGAGGTGGAAGGAAATGACCGGCTCTTAAGCACATATGTAAGCAAATTTTTTATTTACACGACCTTGGGCTTAAATTTTCAGAATTTTCGCCCAAATTTGGATAGTAGGCGGAAGACATGAGAGATCTTATCCCTGATTGCATTTATAAAATAAGTCTATCGTCCACATCTTGAGACCAGATAATTTTAAATTAGAATGAGGTGTATATTATTTTTAATAAATAAATTTCAACAGATACAATAGATTTTGACACTTTATACGACATTATCTTGGCTCGCCCAAAATTTGAGTTGAAAAAAATTATTGAGAAGGATGATAAAATACGTCCAAAATTGGAAAAATATTTAACTGATAACAAAGAGCAACAAGATGAAAATGCTGCGATATGGGATATTTTAATTAATCGAGTTGTAGCTGCTGAAAAACATACAACTTTTGACAAGGAAGAATTTAAAGAGGTATTCGATATATGTAGGGTTAAATTTATTTAAAAATCATAATTCTATGAAATGTAAATATTTTTCTATAAATTTATAATCATTTTAAAGCTCGAAAAAAATGTTATAATAAAAAAAGTATGAAAATCATGCGATTTAACAAAATTAAAATTCACACACTCTTGGCCATATACTTTTGTGCCAGACTGTATATGTATATTATGCTAATAGTGATTCCAGGGTATCCCGACTTCCAAAGCCATTTCCCGAACCGACTCCCGTTTCCCGGGTTTTTCCTCTCCCGCGCATCAGACACATGATACTACCATAAGGTCACAAGATCTATGAATGCTTTGGGGATAAAAGTCATCCTTACTGAAGCAATACTGAATTATCTCACTTGTGGGTATTCATAAATATCCCAAAATATTGTTTTAAATTTGATATTTAGATTGGAAAACGAACCATACCTTTATGTAAAGAGTTAAACAAAAAATTTACTGATAAAGTTGTTAAAGAAGAAGATTTAATACAGCTAACTTCATCGCTGGGTGTACTGTTAAACTCCTCTGAATTTATGGAATCTAGCATTTATAATTTTGAAGAATGTGAAAAGATAATTTTCGATAAACAATTTCCTGAATATATAGGGAGAATGTTAAAAATATCCGGATTGGCACGAAAAAGGGATTATTACAGCGATATTGCTGATCGAATCATAAATTATATTAAAAATAGAAAATATGAGGGTAAAGAAATTATCTGATTTTTTGATACTTAGCTTAAATTCGAGGTTATAGTAGGTCCTCTAGTTCTGTCTTTAAGTCTGCTCTAACACATACGATATTCTTTGCAAAACATCGTATATACCAGACTTGGTAATGGATACGGATTTTGTCCTATACTCACACCCCACTCAGTCCTATCCTTAGACCCCCTCCTCCTCAATTCTATCCTCAGATCCCCCCCCCCCCCTCAGTTCTATCATTAGACCCTGTTATGTCTGTCCGAGACTAACAATATTTACTCTCAAATTTGTTTGAGGAATTAACTTTATTTATTTTATTTTAACTCTCAATTAATGAGGACACAATTTATTCAGTATTTTATTTAAGCTTAAGTTTAGTTCAATTGAAGCTGAAAAATGTATAAAACAAATGGGTTTTTATATGGGTACAAACAGGCGGGGATTGAGTATGTTTGGAATGAAAAGTTTGATAAATAAAATAGTAAATGTTATGAGGGAAATATTTGAAAGTAAGTTATTTAGGAACAAAGAGAGGCAAATGTTGTGGGGGGAAATATTTGAATATCATAAAGGAAAGGTTTTAGTTTAAGAGATTATTTTAAAGACATAAAGAAGGGAAATGTTTAAATTATGTGTTGGGGGAAAAGTTTAATGTGAAGAGGTCAAAAAAATATTTAAAATTATATTTGAATAAACGACAGCTCAGACACATCATTCCTCCCTCCTTTAATGAATTCAATGGCGGCGAGAAGATCCTCCATTACGATGGTAGTCTTGATATGGGCTCCAGCGATCTCGTGCGTTTGCACGGCCAAATCCTTCTTTTTCGAGTTGACGCATCAAATAGAAAAGACGCGCATCTCGACCATTACCACGACCTCCGCGAGATTCGCGGGCACGATTGTTGTTATTTCCTCGCATTCCTTCCCCTCCGCGATTAACACGGGCTCTACCTCGAATAGGCGTTTCTCCGCGATTATTTTAAGCGGGCTGAATATTTACTTCATTTCGATTTTCTTGATCATCCTCAGATTCATCTGAATCTGATTCAGATTCAGGCTCGCCATTTTTAGCGGTTATTTCATTTTTTACTTCTTTTAAAATTTCTTCAATTTCGGTGAGTCGTGGATTAAGCTCTTGAATTACATCATTTACAATCTCCTTTTTAAGGGAAATAAGAGCCTCTCGAATGTAGTCGTGTGCATTCTGCACTGTTTCTCGCGTCGATTTGGACTCTTCGCGGATGGTTTCGAGGAACGAAGTTTGGTTAATTAAAGAAATATTGCTGGGTAATTTTTTCGGTTTAGCACATTTCTTTTGTGCACTCTCCTTATCCAAAGGAGGATTTTCCTGTTGTTCATTTTCTCCAAACAATTCTTCCATATTTACTTCATTTGTCGTCATAATTAAATTAGTTTTAAATAAATACAAAATTTTTTTTTAAAGGAATAAAAGTCAATTTGGATGGAATGAAGTGTAGGAATGAACTAAAAAACAAATTTTAATTTAAAATAAAAAGGGTATGAAAATTGAAAAATTTTAAAATATTAGAGGAGTGAAAAATAGATATGAGGGATATGTACAGGTGAAAAAATAGATTTTTTTTAAGAAATTAGGTTTTCTCAATCAGTGTGTGAGTGCGGGATATTAATTCAAGGGGTAATCTTCTCCGCAACTGATCGGCATGGGCTATTCGAATGGAGTTGTTCTCTATTTTTACTCCATATTTATACTCTCCCTTTTCATGCACAATTGTGCCTCTGCTCCAATTCACATGACCAGTATGTTCTCTAATCCACACAAGATCTCCAACATTAAAGAACTTTTTTGAATTTCTGGCGTTATTTGTCTCTTCCACATTCTTCTGGTGGAGATTATTTTCATCACTATTTTTCTTCGGCAAAAAGTTCACCGAGTCAATTTTTGAATTTATTTGTCTGCCGATAAATTTATGAGCAGGCGTTTTTGTATAAGTATTATGTTTTAGCGTATTTATTTGTTCATTTTTTGTAACGCTAGATTCTCTTATTTTGTTTAAGGCTTTTATTTCATCTATATTTATAAGCTCCCAATTTAAAAAATTTAAGCATAGTGGAAGGTCTTTTAGTGTTTCTCTTCCTAATATAGCTTCGTAGGGGCCTCTGGTTACTTTCTGGTCAATAATCATAATTTTTGAATTCACTTCGCAATTCGCGAGCTTAATTTTTATGTCTGCTTGTCCAACAAGCGGTACCATATTATTTCCAATTCCATATACTCCTCCGAAATCGGGCTGATACAGGGATTTAATTTTGCAACTTTTTGCTGTCTTTTTACTTATCAATGAGACATGGGCTCCTGTATCGATCAGACAAAGTATTCTTTTGCCATTTATTTCAGCAAAAATTCTCATATTTTTGTCACAAGTATATTTTTCTAACAAAACAACCTCAACAGCCTTATTTTTTAAATTTTTGCCATTGGTCTTATTTTCTTTAATTCTCACCTCTTTTTGAGATGGCCAACGTTCTGAGAGGGGTAAAATTTCTTTCTTTGATTCTTTCTCGTCATTCCTTCCTTTTTCTGATTTGTTAATTCTTCGGTCTCGTCGAGCTTTGGCGACGGAGTTAATTATTATCTCCCCAATATTTAGATTCTCTAACAGTCTAGTTAGGAGTGAAGGCAATACAAATTTAAAGATAAATTCAAGGGTGATATAACAGCAACAAGCAAAAACCCATACTTGATTTATGCTGAATATACCTCCTTTAAGAAATGAAAATAACCCGTTTGACACAATATTTCCTGCTATTACGTGCTTTCTAGTATTAGAAGTCTCCCAAATCGAGTTGGGGTTCGAAAGTCGAGCAATTTCCTGGGTTATCTTGGCACTTTCCATAGTCTCAGAAAAATGTTCTGGCGAATACAATTCTGTCAAATTGGCCAGTATTTTATTTCTGAAGACAGAAATACTCATTTCTGGTATGTCTATTTTTCCATACCGTACCATTTCTCTTATACTTTCTGCTATCTCTTTTTGGTCTCCTGTTATTTGGTCAAATTGCAGGGTTCTCTCTTTTTCATGTAAGTACATCCATCTTACTGCCTCGCATTCTACCTCTTTGGCATGCGGATAAATTATTAGTGTACTTGTATCCATAAATCCATGCTTCAAAGAGCCATGTAACATGAAACTAATAGGTAAGCGATCAAAGCATATACCTTTTTTCCAATTAAAATGTATATTCTCCTCCTTAATTGTGTAACAGGGTTTAATTTCCAAAACATTCTCCGTTACAAGACGGGCTGTTATGTGATCCTTTTTAAGAAAATGTCTCGCAAGCAATGTTGGGTTAGCTGCGGCTAGGGTCATTAATTGGTCAGACAATTCTTGAAGTCTCTGGCATATTTGCCGAATTGAATCTGCGAACAATTTCTTAATCGATTTATTAAGTGAAGCACTTAATGCTGAAAGTTGCGAAGCTAATTGAGAGCTATACACAATTCCAGTTGGCTCACTAATAATCTCCCTTTTTACACGTGAAGGGGAAAATTCAAAGAAATCTTTTATTCGCTGAAGCTCCTTAAACTCATCTAAAGGGATGGCAAAACCTTGGTCTGACAAAATTAATTCCTTTTGTTCACAATCAATTAATTTTGTCGCATTTTCAAACGATAACGCGAATTCATTCGAGTCCGAAAGCCAAATACCTGACGAGTATTCTCCAGCCCAATTATCTACCAAAACATAGGAACATTGCTGGGTCTTATCTGGGTGCCATATCAGGCTCCCTTGGTCACATTTGCAACTCCCAGAGTGATATAAACATCCGGGGCAAACACCAATAGGTGTATTAATCTCATCTGTTCCAAAATGGGTAAAAACAACAGATTCGTATACATAACAATTCTCCGTGGTTTTTGTGTCCCACGGGATTCCAAAAGGCCAAATTTTCCACTCTAAATTTGGATCATTCTCTGTGGCTTTCAGGGATCCATTTTTCTCCCTTAAATCTCCCGCTATTGAATTATTTAATTCTCGCATCCTTTTACATGCGGATATAGGCACGTTTACATGTTCTGTACCTGATTCCTCTAAATAAGCACCGAAAACGCCTCTGCTTTTGGAAACGGTTGTTTTAATACACTTACACACATAAGCAGGTGTTTTATATTGTAAGGTATTTGCTCTATAAATTGTTAAGTTTATAGGAATTGGTGCATCCGTTATATGTCTTGACGGACAAATCGGGTCAGTAGGTAAGCGCCATAAAGATACGGGCGCATCTCGCAAACAAATCATTGGCGCGGCCAACGCTACGGGGAAGAAACAAGCCAATAAGGCTAGAAAAACGATCATATGTGGACTGAACATTTTAACAAAATTTTTATTTTTAGGTCTCAAATTTACTTGATTTTTGTGTGGCAATTTATTTTTAATTTTATTTACTCGCTTTTCTTTCAATTCCTTAAGCGGCTCCATTATTTTTTCCTCAACTGGCTCAACAACAGCAATATAATACGGACTTGCAGTTCTAATACTTGGACTGCTTCCTCTTTCAAATCTCACACGTCTTGGAGAGCGGTGTGGTGACAAATAATTTCTCTGAAATCCTCGACTTTCATTTCCATAATTTCGCGAATTTTCATTATAATAATTATTCTGCGGTCTGCGAAAATCTCTAGTATTTCGTTCCCTACTAGGCGATCTACTATCTGGATATCCTTTGTATCCGCCCCTATTTCGGTAATTTCTATTATGGCTTGCGCCATAACGGTCTGGATAATTTTGATATCTGTTATAATTTTGATTGTCTCCATAATTGGGCCTACTAGATTCATTTCGATTCCGATTTTCATATCTATTACCTTTAAAATTTCCTCGGAAACTGTTACCATTATTCCGGAATCTTTCCTCATAATTTCTATAGTTCGGGTCATATCTCTTTTCAGGGCAATTTCTCACTAAATGGTTTGAACTTTTACATTGGAAGCAGGTTTGTGTTCTGGCAAAACCAATGCCTCGACTTCGTCGGCTAAACTAGAAACACAAACATTGCTGTTTGTTGGTTTCTTCTCCGCCAATAGAAGTTCAAGGTGCGATGCCAATTCATACGCACTTCCATAATCCGGCGGGCGTTGAGATTTAACCTGAAATTTCAAATCAGGACTGAGTTTATCTAAAAACTCGTATAAAAGGGTATTATTTACTGTATTCTCATTTTCTCCTACTAGGGCCGTTCTTACTAAATCCGAGAGCCGATTGGCATATTCAAAAACGGACTCGCCTGGGGCCTGGCGGCAGCTGCTCAGTTTTTGGCGAGCGATAACCTTAGTATTACCATTTTCAAATTTACTCCTTAAATTATTTATGGCGATCTCCAAACTAGTGGGTGCTGGTTGCATTGTATCAAGAACCGTTCTCGCCTGTCCAGTTAAGCAGAAACGAAGGCGGGTTAATTTCTGTTCTTCCGTTATCGGAGTAGAGATGAGCGACAAAACATCCTTAAATTTTTCAATCCATTTAGAGAAGGACATGCTCGGATTTCCCTCATACGAGCCAATATATTGTCCATTATTTAAAAATGGATCCATAACTTTTATTTCTAGATCCCCCTCCGAATTATCATCCATGTTACTGTCATTATCCTCCGAATTCTGCTCATTAGCGTCCTCAAAATCATCTAGACTAGCATTTTCAGCTTGCTTCTCTCCAAGCTTTTTAAATTCATTCTGAACGTTATTTCTTAGTCTAGTGATAGAGCCCTTAATTCCGGTCATTGAATTTTTGGTTTTCTCGGAATTGGTCTCTAAAGTCTCCAATCTACCTTCTATGCGTCTAAGGGATTGGGCAACAGATTTTTCAAAAGCTCGCAATCTAACAAGAATTGCGGAAAATTGTTTAACCTCCTGTGGAGTAAAAAAAGTTTCGTCAAAGTCTGACATTTCTCGAAAAAATTTTCGGATTAAATAAAATATTTTTTCAAATTTCCGTGGTCTACAACACAAACCACTTTTTTTAAACTGGCCTACAACACTGACCAGAAGCCCTACAACGCTGAGCTATATATTTTTTTTAAATTAATTTGCTGGCCTACAACACTGACCAGAAGCCCGACAATACTGAGCTATCAAAAATAAATTTAATTTTAGTCTTCCGTTAACGGAGAAGCGCTTAGGTTCAATCCTGTCTGAACTGCGCCAAAAATGTTATGTCTGTCCGAGACTAACAATATTTACTCTCAAATTTGTTTGAGGAATTAACTTTATTTATTTTATTTTAACTCTCAATTAATGAGGACACAATTTATTCAGTATTTTATTTAAGCTTAAGTTTAGTTCAATTGAAGCTGAAAAATGTATAAAACAAATGGGTTTTTATATGGGTACAAACAGGCGGGGATTGAGTATGTTTGGAATGAAAAGTTTGATAAATAAAATAGTAAATGTTATGAGGGAAATATTTGAAAGTAAGTTATTTAGGAACAAAGAGAGGCAAATGTTGTGGGGGGAAATATTTGAATATCATAAAGGAAAGGTTTTAGTTTAAGAGATTATTTTAAAGACATAAAGAAGGGAAATGTTTAAATTATGTGTTGGGGGAAAAGTTTAATGTGAAGAGGTCAAAAAAATATTTAAAATTATATTTGAATAAACGACAGCTCAGACACATCAGACCCCCCTCTCAGTTCTATCTTTAGACCCCCCCCCCTTCTCTGTCCTATCCTTAGAACCCCCCCCCCCTTATTTCTACCAGATCTTCAACCAAGATTAGAAATTTGAATTTATTTAAATTTTAAAACAGAATTGTTGACTCTTGTGGTGATCCATCATGGAAATAATTTTGTTGAGATTGCTAAAACTTTGAAGGACAAGATAATAGCAACTGAAGATGCAAATTTGGTAAAAATTGAAAATGATGTGTTGGGATTGGATACGTTTTTTAAATTTATTTTAATGGAAGGGGATGAAGCTAATGAGGAAATTGCTGAAGATAAAGGAGATGTTGAGGATTTAGAAATTCATGAAGGAAATGTTGAAGAGTTTGAAGATGACGGATTTGTTAACGAAGATGAAGAGGATGGAATTGCTGAAGATGATGAAAGAGATGTGGGTAAAACTAGTGAGCAGGGAAACGATTCTATAGCCAGTTATGGTTCTGATTATGATGACCTATCTTCAAATTTAAAATGCTTATCGTATACAGAAAAAGAGTATGGAACTGAGGTGAAGATGGGAAATTTTGAATATGAGTATACTGGTAATTTTAAATTTTTATGGGATATTTGTGGAAAATGATTTTAAATTCAAATTTTTAAGCTAACTATCAAAACGGAGATTGGATTAAATTGAACGATTTATGTATAGAATTGAAAAGGTTCGAAAACGATCTTGATAGTATTTTAGAATATCTACCGAGTAAAATGAAGAGAAGAGGTGATTTTAAAACTTTTAATGAATGGAAGAATGGACAGAATAAAAATTCCATTTCGAGGAGAATTGGAAAGCTAAAAAAGAGGTGTGAAGAGATAGAACAGGTATCTCATATAAATCTATAATAAAAATTAATAAATAAAATAATTATAAATTTTGTAGGTGATGGCAAGCAAATCAGGTAATATAATTTCATTAGTATTCCAATAATATCGTTTATAATACAGGAATATTTTAAATTTTATACCTGTCCATTATACCTGTCCATTATTAATACCTGTCCATTATTAATGGGCATTAATTATCACATAAGAGGGAGGTTGAAACTTGATTAGCATGTTTAACTATATGAGCATATAAATATCTTTATTTTGTGTATCCTGTCAGGGATGGGAAGGGTTGGAAAAAATAGGTTGTTTAGGATTGTGTTATACATAGGAATCCTGTTTTATAAAGGTCCGAATACCCGTGATCTTTATCATTAATATTTTCCTTATAGAATTTACGTGTAGTCGTTATCATCCAATTACTGATTCAACTGATCCATTTACAAAGTCGGCTAAAAATAGATCAGCATCTTTATTGACAATTTTGGAATATATTCAATCTTTGTCAGATTACGATAAATTACGTTGGGAGTTGCAAAATAGATTGTTTTTGCCTCTTCCACAATGGCGAAGGCAAGAATTGGCCAAGTTATATTGCGAAAAGGTGTTTAAAATTTATGTAGGTTTTGGCATATTACTAGTTTAGTCGTTAAATTAAGCCTTTATGAGGCATGTCAGTATTTTACGTAACCAAATAGCTAATTTGCTTATCAATAGGCTTATAAACTTAGATAGGACTGATAAACTCATAAAATCGTTGGAGAATTAAACTAGATCAATCATAATTTGTATTCTTCTAAAATGTTTATATTTATAGAGTAATATGAAGGAATGTTTTAAAAAGATTTTTTATGGAAGTGAACAGTTTGGACATCATAAATCTCAATTATTAGAGTTGTTGATAGACGATAGAAGTAAATCACTGGCTGAGAGGCTTTATTACACAATGAATTCAGGCGAGATTTAGATTTTAAAATATGTTAGAAACTAACATTTTTAGAGGATCCAATAGATTTTGATATTTTGTATGACATTATATTGGCAAGTCCAAAATTTGAATTGAAACAGATTATTAACATGTTTAATAATGTATTAATAAAGCAAGATGAAGCAAAGTATAAAGAATTTGAGAAGATAAAGAAAAATAAAAAAGTTTCAAAGTTGCAAGATTTTTTATTTTATAAACAATATCTGACAATAAATCAGAGAGAGATGACAGAGATATGGGACATTTTGATTAACCGAATAGAATCCGTTGGAAACGATCAATTTTTTGATGAAAAATTTAAGGAGGTTAAGATATATTTTTCAATTTAATATTAAAAGTAGAGTTGGGCAATATCGGGATTCCGACCGGTATCTGGCGGTTTTATACAGGTTTTTTGGAATTGCGATACCGATTTTTCAATACCAATACCGACCGGTATCGGTATCATCATTCCAAAATTCCGATACAGATTTTGGTCGGAATTCCGATACCGATTTTAGGTCGGAATTCTGATACCGCCCAACTCTAATTAAAAGTACAAGGTTCCCTCACAAATTACAAAAATATAAGATCACTCAAATTGAGTAATAGCACAGAATGTTAGAATAGTAAGAAGGCTAGAAAAACTTATTTGGTAACAACACAGATTTTAAAATTCTTAAAATTCGCCAAAAGTCATAACGCCAAAATCGCGCAAACTGCCGATATTTAAAAAAATTTTTTTGAGCCTTACTAGCAAGAAACTTATTCAAAAAATTTTTAACTTAATTTATATATAAATTTATATTTAAAAAATTAATTTTAGAGTTCTGAAGAAATCCTTAAATTATGTGAAGATCCCACAAAAGATAATTATGACAAAGTATTAACTGAAGCAGTTACCGAAATCCTGATCAATTTCGAAATGTCGTCAGATATCGTATCAACGTTTGTTAAAAAGTTTAAAAAATGTGGTAAAAAAATTTTCGAAACTCAAACGAATGAAGAAAGTCAGGGTAATTTAGAGAACAATAATATTGTGCATGAAGGAGATAGAAAGGATGAAGGAGCTACAATTAAAGGGTAAGTTGGTTTGTAGGGTATCTACATATTGTAAGGCCGGAAAGGTTCCTCCCTACTCGGCAGATAAAGCAAAGCTAATAAGGACCAGTCTGTTGTGAAATGATTAATGATTACGCTTCCCCTTGCACCGGGAAGCGTTTAAGGTCCCGTCGACTTTAATTTGATCCAATCTTTTGCTATTTGCTGGGAAGCACACGCTTACTATATTAAGGGTAATTAGGATCTGGTTTAAACAGAATTGAGTGTTTCGTGCATTTCTTAGCCTTGGTAAGCAAACGTCTCCTCGTCACGGGATGTTGGAATTATTTTAGAATTACCCATAATAAACCCCAAAAATAATAGGACCCAAAAAGCGAGATACTGGGAAAATTTTGAGAAAATACTGGGAAAATTTTTTAAAAATTTAATTATTAGATTACCTGAATACATGAAAAGAATGCTGATTATAGCTGGATTTGCTGGAAATGATCAATATATGGAGGATACTACTAACCGAATTATTAATTATATCTTTGATGAAAAATTTGAAGGTTATTCATTTATAATGTTAAAATTATATCCTATTGATCACTTTTATGTATAACAAATAGGATGATTAATTTAACTGGGAAATTATCATAATAGTCGTGGGTTAAAATGTTATCCAATATGTCTAGTATGAGGTGTCGTATGAGAGCACACTATAATAAAAACCCATAAGAGAAATGTTTGTTATGGCTACGGGAGTTTTAAGTAGGTCTCATCAGATGAGCTTATTCTAGAAGTGGGTATCTACAAGAGATGGGCTTATATTAAAGTATTACTGTATCTTTCATATAGGGAGAGTATATTTATATATTCATAAATTACTTATTTAACTCAGAATTATTGTCTCTCGTTGTAATTCATTATGGAAATGATTTTGTAAAGTTAGTACAATTTTTGGAGGAGAAAATGAAGTATTATAAAGACGAAGGAAAAATATTACAAAGTGAATTTTCGAAAACGTCATTAGAAGATGTTGGAATATATACTCAAATTACAGATGAGATGGGAGGCAAATTAAAGGAATTAAGGAAGAAAAAAGAGGAAATCACCGAGGAATTGGAGACGAAGATGAGAACTGAAGAGGAAGAAGATTTAAGAAATAAATTGAAAAAGTTGGAAGAAGATGAAAACAAACTAAAGATTAAATTTAACGATTTACAGATGAAAAATCGTTTGAAATCGGATATTAGAGAGTATAATGGGAACTTTAAAATACGAAAACGCAAATTAGGAAACAATGAAGTTGCTATAATGAAGTTACAAAATGAACAAGAAAATCTGAGCACTGAAATGAAATTAATAGAAAATGAGTTAAAAAAGTTAAAAAATGAAGAGATTAAAGTAACTGAGGAAGAACAATTAAAAGACATTGAGTTAAAGATATCAGAAAAAGAAAAAGCATTGACAGAAAAAGATGAAAAAATAAATGAAATTAATAGTAAAATATCAGCTCTACAAAATGGTTATGGTAACAAAACGATAAATTTTCATTAGAGACCGGACTGGGAGGGTCTTAAGAGAATCGAAATCTTGAAGCCTTACATCTTCGATCTAGATAACTGAGATTTTCTATCGAGATCTCGTCAGATCTTTTCACGGTCCATTCGATCGAGATCTCGTCACGATCCGTTCTCTTCAGATCTCGTCACGTGGGTCTGCACGGATGGGCTTATATTAGAGGTGGGCTTCTAATTGAGCTGGGCCTATATTAGAATGTCTACAGTATGTGGTTTATTAGAATCAATACGGTAATATACATATTCTATGTATGCATAATGTGCATGAATCAGTGTTTTCTCATAATTTAATAAATCTCCTTGTAATAGGAAAAGTATGAATCCGTTCAAATGTAAAGCATGAATTTGATTAAAATGGTTAGAATTTGATAAATAAATCCAAGCTCGTTACCATTTAAAGTACAGATCGGACGAGATCTTTAAAAAATCGAGATTCTTCGGAATATCAATGTAGATTCACATACGACAAGCTCAGTCCGTTCACTAGTACCATTACCGCTTTTAAAACACTAAACTGACAGGAGAAGAAAAAGAACTGACAGAAGAAGAAGAAACCCGATTAAATTTAGAAGAAGAAAAAGAAGAAGAACAAGAATTAAAATTATCGGAAGTGAAAGAAATAGTAAAAAACGAGGAGAAACCATTCCTAGAGAAAAATTCAAAAATTTTAAAAATTAAAAATTTATCAATATTTGATGAAGATAAATATGGCCTATTATCATTCTTCAAATCAAACGAGTTTAAAATTAATTGTTATGGAGAAACAGAAAAGGAAAATGAAATTGAGAAAAAATTGGGTGTTTTGGAGTATGAATATAAGGGTAAAATTTATATATTTTTTGAAATAAATATGGTAAAATTAACAAAGCTATGTAAATAAATATGCTTGCCATAATTTCCCTTCATTTATAAAATAGGAATTTTACAACATATCAAAAAATACATTTATTTTGTTATAAAAATAAATGTTTTGAAAAGCAATGTCGATATAATTTTAGTTTATTCAGTCGTTAACTAATTTTTATATTCTCTAAAGTCGTGTTTTTATTTTGCTCTCTATTATTCGTAGAGGGATTAAAAAATCATGTGATGGATTTATCAAAAACTTTTAGTTTTTAATGGGTGTTTTTGACTGTCTAAATGGCGTAAATGTTCTAATATAAGTCCTAGGTTCGTAATTTTCAATGGGTCTACAAAGATTGGCTTATAGTATACCTACTATGTATAATGAATGTACATAATTAAGTTCCTCTAAAATTAAAAGATATCTAAATAATTACCTACAATAAATCTAAAAATTTAGATAAATTGTATAATCAAAATAAATTAAAAAACACAAATTTTTTCCTGATTATACATGAAAAAACAATTAAAAATTTCAACGAGTTTGAAGCCTTATTTAACAAAAAATATCAGCCTCAAAGTAAAATCGAGAAAAGGAAAGACTTTCAGACCGTGCAGGATTGGTTAAATGGAAGAAATATGAATTCAATAGAAAACCGAATTTCAATGTTGAAAAAGAATTTTGTCTTAAAAGTTGTTTCAAAACCAAAACCTAAAAAAGTTTTTAATAAAATAGAAAATATTAAAAGACAAATATGGAGTAAAGGAAGGAAAAATAGTAAAATGCTCAAAAGCATGAGTATGAATGAAAAAATTCTTGAAAAGAATTCTTCCTTGAGTTTAAAAAGAAAGGATGTTACGAAATCTGCTTCCTTCCCTGATAATGTTGAACGAAACAAAATTAAACTAGGTTTTCTTTTTAGTTTTATTTAGTCTTTTGGTAAGGGAAGAGGGTTTTAGATTATGTATGTTGGTAATTTTTTATAGGATTGGTAAGGAAGTTAAGCGGTACTAATAACTAAAAATTTGGGTTTCGCTGAAGTGATCTGTTAAGTATTTTTTGCTGGGCATTAATAAACTTTTAAAAAAAGGAGAGAGAGAGCTCTCTCGTAAAGGAGAGAGCCATTCGAATAAGTGAGCCATTCGACTCATTTCATTTTTGATCAAATGATAAACAATACACAGTCTAATAGTTCTAATAAAAATTTTATCTTTAATAAGGAAGTCAGAAAGGAACTTCTGAAGATTTACTCAAAAATTCAAAAATTTCGGCTGCTAAAAACGTTCGAAATTCAAAAAAGAAGGCCAATGTAACTAAAGATGGTCGAGTTAAGCATAAGAAACATTCTAGTCTTATCAATATTAATCAGAAGAATCCTGTTGAAAAAAGCGGAAAACTGTTTTCGAATTCTGCTTCTTTTCCTGTTTACGGCTCAAAACGAGGCATGTTTATACAATACATATAAAATTTTGCTGTATAGGGGATTTTTACTGAGATTGATTGGATTTAGTCCAAGACCTATGTGTTTTAAGGTGACTGGTTAGAGTTGTAGGAACTAGGATGGCTTCAAATATCTGGATCTCCATCCAGATTTAGGGTTTTTCTTTATTAAAAATCTGAAAAATCATCCATAACCAATAATATCCGCTGATATACTATTATATCTGCAAACTTTACTAGGTCATAATACAATTACTTATCATTTCAATTCTATTTTTGTCAAGTAATAGGGTTGTACCAATGAATTGACCAATGAATAAGAATTGACCAATGAATGAGAGTTGTACCAATGTATTTGTTCGAAACGGAACACAAATTGTAAAAAGATTGTAACTAATTTATTTATTTTTAGTTTATTATTTATTTTAGTTGTATATAGAGTTGAGCGGTATCGGGATCTTGAAATAATGATCCCGATACTGGATCGAGATTTGTCTTTCGGTCTCGGGATTAGAAAAATCGCGATCGGGATTCAGAAAAACAGGGATCCCGATCCCGCCCAACCCTATATATCAGTTACATTATTCATACATTTATTCATTTATTATTTATTAAACTATATTAGTTTAACTGAGTTTTCCTATGTAACACCATATATGGAAAATCATGTAACTCAGGATTGAGGTGCACAACTTGTCTTCAGAGTTCCGAAATTTAGCATTCTTATTCCAAATACTTTGCGAGGACGGCGCGGTGTAATTCTAACATAAATATTAGTCCGGTCTCATGTAGAAACAGATTTGAGTGCAGTGATTTAAATATCCATTAGCATTAGTTGAAGGATAAATAGCTAGCCTAGTTCAGATTTATTATTATTCAGTTAATGCATCTAAGATGTGTGAAATGCTGATTTAATATGTTGGCCATCAATATATTTCCCTATACCTCATAAAACGGTGTAAGAAAAGTCAAATTTAATTTAAAAATTCCCGAATTTTATTTTAAAAAAGTCATTTGCTAAATTTTAAATTTAACCTTATTTTGCCCTTTTGCCGCCCTTTAATTAAAAAATCAAAGAAAAATATTATAGTGTTTATTGACATTCACATGCAATTCGTGGCTATTGCGCGAGATTCTTTTAATGTTTTATTGACTTTAAGCGGCTGATTAAGTGCATTTGCCAAGCTGCGCTATTCCCTTTTATTTATCCTTCATGCGCTTTTATTTCTTCATTAAAAGAAAAATTGTTATTTATTTATTTTTATTTATCCATTTTAAAAATTTTTTTTTAATTTTTTATTTAACAAAAAAAATTATTTTGGAAATTTAAAATTTATTAAATGTTTATCAACTCATGATGATAAAAATTTTAATTTTCTTGTTGTTTATGTTAACTATAAAGTTGGCAGGTTTACCTTTTTTAAAGATTAACATAAAATACAATTAGGTATTAGTCTCAGACTTGGTAATAGTCTCAAGTAGAGATCGGAACAGGACAGGATCCCGCAAAGGATTTTCCAGGATCCTGTCCGAAATCCTACCTTTTTTTCAGTTTTCAGGATTGTCAGGATCTCTTATCTCGAGTATTAGTATTAAGTATTAGTATTTAGAGTCTGTAAACTAGCTATTAGTCTCAGATAAAGGATCACCTTCATTAAGATATTGATGCATGATTTAAGTTTACATGTGATATTCCTTGTAAAATTGACTACTTTCTTAAACTGGCCCTTTTCTGGATATTAGGGTTTTTGGATAACAACTAAGAATCGAGCCGAAAACGATCTGTTTTTCGGTGAGGTTCTACTGATCGGATTCATTGAACATAAACCCATAAATTGCAATTACTCAAATCCTTGAAGTTTTCCCGTCAAAGAGAGATTTTTAGGTAAATATGTAACAGACGGCGGATTCTTAATCCTCCTTGTTGCTAGGTTCTGAGCTCTCAGAATTATTAAAAAATAATAAATTTTGATAGAATAAATACAAAAATAATCCAATATTAAATAAAAATATTTTTTGTTTATTAAAGCTACTAATGAATTTGATTCGAAATCTTTGTTGTCTGAATGTTCTCGAAACGACACCGTTGTCCATGAAAATTTCTTAAAAAATGTTTGTGTTCACAAAGGAAATAAAAATTTAAAATCGAAGCAAGCTGTTTGGGAACTCTTGGCCAAGTATTTAGTGCCTCTTCCTCGATGGAAACGCCAAGAAGTTGTTCTAAAAACTTGTAGAGATCTGAGAATTGGTCTTCCTACAGAGCAGGAAAATGAAGAAAATCACAACGAGGAGTTGACACAATGTTTGAATGGTTTATTCTTTGGAGGAAAAAATGCGGGGTTTGCTGGCATTAACAAGGGGGCTAAGGATAAATTTTATCCAAAGGCAGCAAAAATCTTTATATATATGATAGAGGAAAAGCCAAAAGTTTTGGGGAAAATACTTTTTGAGCAAATTGAATCGAGGAATCCAGGTTTACGTTTTAACTAACTTTTTATTATTTAAACTCAACCTGATCAGAGCGTAACTTAAATTTTATAATAATTAACCTCTCACGGGTATAACAATTTACCTCTCATAACTCTTTCTTAATTGCTTACTACACCGAAGGGTTGGTTACAGTAACCATGAGTTTTGAACTAAGGAAAAGCGTGTTTCTCCTCAATGTAAAAGAACAGAAGGGAATATGAATAATGGAAGCGGTGTATATTAAGACAGAGTTCTTCCTGTGTCTTAATTTAAGACCCAAGAAGAGCATCAAGTTTGATCAGGCTTATCGGAAGGTTCAAGAAACAGACAATTACCTCTACACGAATACTTACACATCTGCTGATAATAATAAATCATTTTCAGATTTCAAATTAATTTATGAAATTTTGTTTGCACGTCCTAGACGTGAGATCAAGCCAATAATAAGGAATCCTAAAAAGTACTATCCTTTTAATGAAGCTTTAAAAAAAATTTATAAAAATATGGATTTATTACTCGAAGATAACGATTCTGATAAATCTTCTGATAACAATTCTGATAACAATTCTGATAAACCTTCTGATAAACCTTTATTGGAAAAACATTTGAAATTAAAAAAGAAATTGAACAAAGACAAAGGAATAAAACAGGTCTATGAACTGTTGATCAAAAGAATTGATGCGATAAATAAAGGAATGGGAATTGTCGATGTGGTTGAGATGGATGAGGTATTGAATTTTATCAAAATTATTAAATTTCACTCAATGACATCTTATTAGCGGATTTCGTTCACATTTTGAATTTTTATGATATAATGAATATCTATTAAGCTAGGGGAAGGGACGAAAGATTTTAATAACCATTAGGGATCGGATTTTTATAGTATAACATATCTTAAAACAAAATAGGTACATTAGGAAAAGTTGTGTTCTCCAAGCTAATACCCGGGTTTTTGGTTTTTCAACATAAAATTCCGATCACTAATAAACAATCTTTATTTTTTGTCCCTAGCTATTATCCAATTTTTGGGGTTCAATTATAATTAATAACAAAGTTTGAGAGGAAGTTATGTGAATCATATAACTATTTAATCCCTAGGACTATGCAGTAGGCGGTGTGATCTAATGGATAACATATCAGTCCGGTCTAATGAAACTGCTGTTTCGCTCCCAGCCGCCGAATAAACTTCTGCACTAACTGAAGGAGAGAAATAGTTCTGCCCAGTTCTGCTTTATGTTATACTTTAAATTTTAGCTTTACAACTCGATAGTAACTCAGTTCAAAGAGTCAAAAATTGAAGAAAAGCAAATGTCTGGTTTAACAAATTTAATCGAGAATTTATTGATAAAATTTCAATTTAAATCGCCAGCTGCATTAAAATTCGGAGAAAAATTCCAAAAAGAAGAAAATCGAAATAAGCATCCTTTATTTAATTCTCAACTAAAGATACAAAAAACTGGAAACTTTTTCTCAAAAATTTTTTCAAAAAATAAGAATCAAAAAACCTTAGAAGGTACACATCAAAAGCCTTCTGAAGGTACTCATCAAAAAGAAAAACGTCCAAGAGAGTTTAATAAATTTTATTGGGAGCAGTTGAAAGAAATAATGTTAATTAGTGGATTGACAGAAGATAAAACTAATTATAACAAGAGAATTGAAAAGGAGTTTGATGAGATAAATAAAAATGGAAATGTTAAAGGTTTGTTTATTGTAAATATTGTGAACTGAGTATTATGACTAAGGTGTAGATTTTTAGATCTTTCCAATTTTCGTGAGATTCCTTAACGAATCAAGTGTTATATCGTTAATCAAGTGTCAAAGTCGACTAACTATATCTTACTCGAACAAAGCTGTATTTCCTTATTATGATGCATGCTTTGCTAAAGCATACACAACGATAAAAATAAATTGCTTTAATGTTTGAGTTAACGAATGAATGAACCACAATAATTCATTAAGCCTAAAAAATACTAGTAGTTTTATATGAGTTAATAAATGTATTTATTTATATGGTGTAAATTTTGTTGTTTTATATTTTTGCCTTGTAAGTTTGCTAGAATATTAAGCAGCTCATTCTTTTATTTTAATACAAATTCTCATATTTTGCAGAATTGATCAACTTCTTAACATTACATATTGATGAAGATATGTCAGGAATATTGGCTAATTATCCAAAGGAGAATGAGGAAAAATATTTGAAAAATTTCTTGGGCCTTTTAAAAGGAAAAACTCACTTTTTCTTGGCTTATAGCAGCATTCTTAATGAAATGAGGAAGACAGATTGTTATTCAAATACTGAAAAAGAGAATTCCTTCGAAGAAAGATTTCAGCATTTTAAATCGGAGAAGAAATGTAAAGTTTATGTTTAAACTTTTAATTGTTATAGGGAGGACAATATTCTAACTTTTTGAGGGGATTGGGGATTGGCCAGCTTAAAAAAATGGAAATATCTGCCCTTTGATTAATTACCAAAGCAAATCCTAATCCTAAACATTTCATGTAATACATAGATTATCGATAACAAATTAACGTATTTATTCTTAAAAACCAATATCTCGATTTGAATCAGTCTCTAATATAACCTCAAAAATGGAGAGGTTGAAAAATAAAACTACAGTGATTGACCACTCCAAAAGAGTTAAACAATAATTGATCAAAATTTTTTAATTTCCCAAATTTTACAGTAAAATACATGCATCTTAATAAGCTTTATGATTATCTGCCTGGAAAGAAGCTTCTTCGAACTTCATCAAAAGAAAAAAACAAAAATAAGGTCACTTTCTCCTCTCTCGACTCCGATAAAAAAGAAAAAATTGAAAAAAGTATCCGTGAGAGCTTATATGAAAAACCTCATAGTGAAATGATAACAATGAATTTCAATAATATTAAAGATAAATATATGGCGGAATATCCTAATGATACCTTTTGTGAACTTCTTAAAGAGTTCATTAAATTAGAAATTCGAAAGTTTATTGAGCGTTTGAGGATGTTCCAAAGGGAAATACCTTCTAATATTGAAGATATGCCTGATAGTGAAATCAAGAAAAAATATTTCTATGATGAAAATAAGGGTTTAGATCAGAGAATCGAGAATATGATAGCGAAAATGAAAGTTGTTGATGAAGTAGAGATTAATAACAATTATGTAGAGGTTATGAAAAATGATGTAAGATAATTTTAAATTTGTGTATTGATAACAAGGATTGATCAGAAATGCGGGATGTGTTGCAAATCAGAAAAGTACCGATCTCAGATTTCCTAACGAATAAACTGGTTACCGTATTTTCTCGATTAGCTCCCCTCCCTTGAATAATTCCTTCTCTCGATCAATTCCCCATGCTAGAGTTGGCTTGAAACAATAATTCCCAACCCCAAATAACCAACTGCACGTTCAAATGCGAAAACTCGAATAATTCCCTTCCCTCGATTAATTACCCATGCCAAGGAAGGGTTGAAAAAATAATTCCCCAGGGGAATTAATCGAAAAAATACGGTATGCATGTATCAAAAAACAGTCGGTTGTGCTTTGGCTTTGACACTTCTCAACGTTGATTCTATTCCAACTAACATCCAATGAAATCGGAAACATTGTGATACTTCCAATAAGATAAGGAGAAGACCCTGGGAGTATCAGAAAATATTTTAATTTTGATAATAATTCTAAAAATTATTATTACAGATGGAAGCATCGACTTCAACAAACCCACTTGAAATACAGGCATCTTATCTTAATTTTACAAAATATATTAAATTACAGGAAAGTGAAGAAACGATTTCAGCATCAGCCCCAGCTAATTCCCCACCCGATACTCCTCATGAGGTAAATGAAAACGAAAACTTGAAGGAAGCGAATGAAAATGGGAAAAAGGTATATTTTTAAAATTTACAATAAAATATTTTTTAAAATTTAATGAAATAGTCTGAGCCTAAACATTGACAGGGACAGGCGCAAAAGCTAATTTCAAAAACGCAAAATGAAACTGACGAAGACCAGAAATAGTTTTTGATTTATCATGAGCATTTTTATTAAATAATTCACATTCTGTGATACATATTAGTTGTAGTACATTATAAAAATCAAATATTTACTGATAAAGATTGATTATAGTTTCCTGACTCTAAATGCTCAAAAACTCTGAATGCGCCTGTCCCTGTTGATAAAAAATAAATTGAATCATAATAACTATGATAAAACGGTTGGTCCCATTCCCCAGTGCCTTGGTGTATAGTTGATGTTATTAGTAGAACCGCGCATGTTGCAATTATGTGGGAACTCCGCAGTGTATAGAAAATGTGATCGCACGTAGTGGATGAATATAGGGAGAGTTCTTGCATATAATCCTCGATGGAAATCAACAATAATATCAACAATACACACTTTCCGATGAATTAATGAAAAAGCAATCTGTTGTTGCCTTGCCTGTTCCTTTAGGACTCGCTTTATTAAGGATATACCCTAGTTTTTAGTAGGGTCGTCGGATAGTTAAAATATTCGAATATCCGTATCCGATATCGAAACCGAAAATTAACTAGTCTTTATAGTACTTAGAATATTACACAAAAATTTTTTTGATATTTTCAGCACTCCTGGAAAAAGCCAAAGCTTTCTATATCAATACCAAACCTAGTATGCCATTATAATCAAGATAGTATTAGTTCATTTTTAATTAAATTTTAGCCTTCGCCAAGATCAATTTTTGGATCGAAAGTAATTCTTGATATTTATTTCTTTTAAACATTTATTCTAGGGAAATGCATTAAAATCCCCGCAGCCAGCCTCAGTCAATGAAAAATCCACTAAATCTCCAATATTGAAGAAACTTGAAAAATTCAAAGTATAGATAAATTAAATTAAGAATTATTTATAAATTAATTTTTAGTCATTTCCACCAAATCTTGTGAGTTAAAATTAAATTTTGATTTTTAATTTGAATTTTTAATGGGACCTCGTAGGTAAACGAGGTTCCATCAATATAACGTTGGCGCAGGATTTGTCTATCAAAAATACCCCCAGATTCGTCCCAATGAATAAATCTCTGAATTCGTCTCAGTTGAATTCGTCCTACCTCGGATTCATCCCATCTCGGATTTTTCCTGCTGACCCCACAATCAAAATCAGTGAACGAAAATCCCCTTTACAAGATTGAATCAAAACAGAAAGATAGAGTTGAATCATAGAATCTCTTATTGTTACGAATGTTCTCCAAGGTCATCCTTCTTATGTCAGCTCAATTTATTCTGGTGGCTCCCCTTACGCCAGATAATTTCGGTCTTAGGATTAGATTGATTCGACTTTATATCTTTTATGGACTTTATTATGTGGGGCTCTAGTCACCTACTTTTACTTAAAGTATTTTTCAATTTTAAGCTCAAATCAACATTAACTCCACCACAACCAAGAATTGTTTCATTAGCCGACCCAAATTTTACATATATAAGCTATGTATGGTTAAAACATATTAAAGAAAAATTCAATTTAAAAAATTTTTAGCCTTCAAATAATAATGGGAATGGTCACAGTTTAGGAAAATTTATACAAGAATTATCTAATGCAAATAATGGCTATGCTGATAAAGGCAAGGGAAAAAAGGAAAAATGTGTAAAGTCCAAACAACCCGAGACTAATGGATTTAATAATTATGTAAATTTTCTGATTCGTTGAATCTACATGGATGATTCTGTACTTTATACAGAACCCCTTTAGGGTTGAAAAATAGTAATAAATCGTTTATTAATTAGAGGTTATAACCAGTGATGTCAAAGTTCCAGTTCCAGTTCCGGAACTAATTAGTTCTAGTTCCAGTTCCGGAACTAGAACTACGGAACTAACGATTATCTGGAACTAGTATGGAACTAGAACTACGGAACTAGTAAATGCCTGGAACTAGCTTGGAACTGGAACTACGGAACTAGTAAATGTCTGGAACTAGCTTTGGAACTAGTTCTGGAACTAGTTCTTGGGGGTATATTTTTGACAAAATTTCCTCGAAAATTACCTGCAGCGCGCTGAGTATGGAAGAAATCTGGCGCTGAAAAAGTGAATTTTTATGGCCTACGACCTTAGAAATTCTCAAAATTTTCGCCTGCGGCGCTGAAAAAGTGAATTTTTTCGGCCTACAATCTTAGAAATTCTCAAAATTTTCGCCTGCGGCGCTGAAAAAGTGGATTTTTTCGGCCTCTTAATCCTCCAGTTTATCCTCCAATCTCCTTAAATCCTCCGTTATCACTCATAATCCTCTTATAACCCAGATATCTAAATTTTAGAAGGGATTATCGGAATTAGGGATTAATCACGCGGCATCCTGTCCCGTAAAAATTTTTTTAAAAAATCCCGTTACGGGATCCCGTGAATGCGACACTAAATGATTTTTTAAATTAGGCTACTCCCACAATGACATCCGTGTCAAGTGTTGAGTGTTTTAACTTTCAAAAAAATCTAGAAAACACTTGAAAAAAACGGCACACCCCTGGTGCAGACTGCATAAGAAACCATTCGACACTCGACACGGACGACTATCAAGTGTTGAGTGTCGAGTAGTACGTATCTATCCTACATTGGAATTAAAAAGGCACGGACTAAAACACTTGACACTCAACGCTCAACACTTGACACATCAAATGTGGGAGTAAATTTGGAACTAGAACTAGCTTGGAACTAGTTCCGGAACCGGAACTGGAACTAAGGGATTTCAAAAATGGAGTTCCGGAACTGGAACTGGAACTACAAAAATTAAAAACCTGGTTCCGGAACTGGAACTGGAACTACAAAAATTAAAAACCTAGTTCTGGAACTGGAACTAGTTCCAGAGAAATTTTGGAACTTTGACATCACTGGTTATAACCTAGGTACCTGCTCATAAGGTTGCCTCCAAACTACTTAATTACTTAACTCTAAACTAGGTACCTCCAAACTGATTGATCCATTTCCAGAAACTTGTGACTTTTATAAATTTATTATTCAGTCTTCTACTGATTCTTGTCACCCTGACTTTATGAAAGATGCAATTGAATATGTATCACCAAAGGGAAAGAAAAAAGATGCTGATCCTTTTGATTTTCTGAAAAATTTTGACAATGTAATTTTAAAATTAAATTAGTTAGCGATTACAACAACTTAGTTAGCGATCACAATCTGTTTAGAATTGGTCACAGAAACTGCGACCTAACATCTTATCCCAGGATTCAAGGACCCCTAACTTTTGAATGACATTAAAAGGAACCAAGGAAGGACAGTTCGTTTTCTAGATATGTGAAGGACAGATCTCATGATTAATAATTCTAATGTGATACCCAACATGTCTATAATACCCAACCTACTGCCATCCTTTTCTGACCTGTCCCTAGTTTAATAATATGAGCAAATTTTGCTTGTTTAGTCCAAAACTTCATCTTCAACAAACGGGTTTATACCAGATGGCATGGATTTTGTATGGCCCACAGAATATCATAATGGAACGGTATTTCAGATATTAAATTATCTAATAATTTAAATTAAAGGAACATTCTACACCAAAGATGGCATCTCCCAACCATGATAACGGCATAAATAATCATAATGTTAACGGGTTTTCAGATCGGGCAAGTTTAATTATTTATAGATGATACTGTCGGACTCATTATAAGATGCACATCTGTCATACGATAAAAATTGGTATCATATGACGATTAGGATTTCACAAAGCAAGCAAATGCTTACCACTTAAAAACTTTTATTGCTTCCAATAGATAGCAAGAACTGAATGAGACTTGATTCTTAGAGCTCCCAATCTCAGGTTTTTCAACTTTCAAACATCCCTCCACAGACTGTCGGTTTCATTTTTGCTTTGTTTGAAGTCTGAACGTAGCTTCGCTTGATCAAGTATTATGAATAGCTTAACTAAATTCCGACAGTATTATAAACCTTCATCATCAAATAATTTATTTTTGAAATTTTGCATTGATTCAGGATTCAAGCCAGCTTTATAGTCTTGGTAGTAGTCCAAAAAAAGAGTTGGAAATAACTGGAAATGGTGAAATTGAGAAAGAAGCTGAATCAGTAAATATTTCATTAATAGATTAATAAATTTTCTAATTTGACAGGATTCCTCTGGTTATATAACCTTTGATTCAGGCAAAGTAAAAGCTGATAAATACTTCAGGCAACTAGAATCTGTAAATTTTTATTTTGAATAGGAGGCTAGATTTCCTCACACTAGAGAGAATTTCTCTCTCCTCTCTCCCGCTACATGGTTCCTTAAGGATCACGTTTTCTGATACACGATTAAGGATCTCCTTGTAAATCTACTTGTAAACTACAAGAAATCTGATAATCGTAGAGTACAATGGATGTATAGTTCTCATTATTAATCAAGTTTTTTATTTATTAAATCTTAAAATCATTTATCTCCTTCTAATTTCTCTAGAGCTTTATAATTAAAGTTTTCTAGAGCTTATTATTATAAACGTGAAAAAATCTTCATCTAGGACATACTTAAATCACTAGAAAATTAAATAATTTATTTAAAGGGAACTTCTGATGCTTCTTATACTGAACCAATAGATACGGATACCATGAAAAATGCTCAAAATAATATGGGAAATCATTCCAATAATGAAATAAAGGAAGCAGAAATAAATAACTCCGGACAAGCAAAAACATCCACAACATCTTTTGAAATCTGGTCTGACTCGGAAAATGAAGAACCACAACCGGAACTTGAAAGTATATTCAAAACAACTTTGGAGGAAGCCGAAAATTCTGAAAAAAAGAAGTGTTATAAAGATTCGAATGGGACTTTAGTTTGTGAATGGAATGGAGGCAAAAAGTCTGAGAAGAATAAAAGTCATGAAATAATTGAATTGGAAAATGAGATACACTCAACAACATCAGAAATTCAGCCTGAACCTGAACCGGTAGGTATCAGGGTGACATTTTACTACTTTATGGGCATTTGTCGCATTTTTTTGACGTCTCGCTCCTTTTTTTGACACCCTTTCTGAGAAGCCGTGCCCACTTTCGGTGATTTAGAAGGGTTACTCTGGACCGATAAAATTGACTTTATAAACGTAAGGTTGAGATTAATATAGGTAACTGAATTAGTTTACATTTTAACTAGAGTCTTCTACTTTCAGAGGATCATTAGACTGAATTACTCTATTTATTCGATTTATTTATATTATTTATTATCCATACGGGGCTCAATAATAATGGAAGGACATATTCAGTTCATATCCAACCCTAGTTCTGATAGTAAGGAGAAGGCTGGGATATTTATAAAGTCAATTTAAGGGTCAAGACATAAAGGAGATAAGAAAAGGGTAATTGTTTGGGGATGTTGGTAGATTCTAAACATCGTGGTATTTTAAAGATTAATAGAGATAATAAGTTATTTGGTTGGATTAAGATGGAGATCAGCCGATTTGGAGGGATATCAGAGTAGTATATACTCCAGTTTTATAACACTTTTTGAAAAAAAAGTGTTATAAAACCAGAGTATATTTTTGCAAAAATTTAGTTTTTAAAAAGGGTAATATGAAATAGAAATTTAAAAAAATTTTTAAATCCTACACCTATACGACTAACTCTAAATTTTCAGATTTACTTTTCAATTTTAACTCATCAAAATTTTTTAATTCTTAAACATTTTTACCAAAAAATTTAATTTTCATTGAGCGCACAATAATTAAAGTCAAAAAATAGTTTTTTGACAATTTTTACGCGCAAACGCTAATTACCCGCAAATAGAGAAAAGTTTGTGAAAGAATAAAAAAATTTTTAAAAATAAACGATTTTACATTTTTTCGATAGGTAATTATCTAAAAAATCTTTTGTGTATTTTTATGTAAAAATAATATTTTTTCACTATTAATTGAAATTTAAAGATATTTCATTTTTTTTTCAAAAAACTTTAAAAATAATACTAAAACGTAATAAAATTTGCTAAAATTATTTTTTATATATAATTAAAAACTATATCCATATAACATTACCAAAAGATTTTTTGTATTTTAAAAAATATTTTAATTTTTATTTTCAATCATTTTTCTTTTATATAATTTTACAAAAAAATTTTTATTCTATTGAGCGCAGTAACTATTTACCCAAAAAATAAATCGGAAGTTTCTTTCTAAAAAGGACGAAACAATTATCAAAAAAATTATGTTTCATTTTTAACAATGAAACTATTTTTACTGCGCGAAGCAATTACAAATATTCTTGTAAAGAAAGTTTTACTGCGCAAAGCAATTGCAAAAAATTCTCTTAAAGAAAGTTTTAGTGCGCGACGCAATTATCCAAAAATTGATGTTTTACAAAAAACAAATTTTATTACTAAAAAATCTAAATTTTTGTGCTTTTATATTTGCGAAATTTTATAAAAATGTTTTTAGTTAAGTTAAAAATTATAAATATATATACATCGATTTATAAACATTTAAAGATTTTTCAAAGTGTGTTAAAAGTTGTAATTACACGTACACTTGAGATTTTCAAGACTTTTGGTCTTGCGTCTTGACTTATGACTTTTCTTGGGTTTTTCCGGTCTTGGTCTTGGGGTGAAGTCTTGTTCTTGAGTCTTGGAAAATTTTCAATCTTGTAAATCTAATACACACGCATAATACAATTTTATTGGCAAAAAATTAAAGAATTTTATAAACCAAACCTATAGGTTTATATTGTGATTTATTAAACATTTAAAAAATGAGGGGGGTGAAACATTGATTTTTAATCTTTTTTTGAGATTTTATATTTTTATTATTTTTTTTTGAGATTTTATATTTTTATTAGTTTTTTTGAGATTTTATATATTTTTTTGTATTTTTTATGTATATACACGAGTAGGGTTCATATTTTATATAGGAATTAGTTTCCGACCTAAAAACAATGTTAATTTTGCTGATTCAATGACAAATGATTTTACAGCAACAACAATATCTGAGCATGTCTCTTTTACAAATAACCAAGCTGAAGAAAACACACTTGGTTCGTGATACACTACTGTAAATGTTGGTTTGTATACCTGTTTCCATTCTTTCTTTTCCTCATCGTAAATAAACCATACATGACCAGTCGGGGTCCAAGTTATATTTGTAAAATTTGGTTGAGGGGGTAAATGTAAAACATGTTGGAAGGTGCTGGGTTTGGGCGTTCTTCGAAATAATGATACTTTAGCTTCCTCGACTTTCCATATTCTTCGATATTCACAGTACACATACCCAAATATAAAAATAAAAATAATTTTATTAAACATTTTTTATTAACAATATAACGAATAATTATCACTTATATATTTTCATAAATTTTCTGATTGTTCAACTGCTTCCAATACATCTATACATTCAATTGGGTAAAAATATTGATGTCTTCTTCCTCCAGCAACACAAATAAGTGGTAATTGTGGATACGCAAGATCAATTCGGTGTCGAACATAGAAATATTGTCTTATTGTAACACGTAAGTATCCACGTAGAGCAAATATATGATCAGCCCCCATCTTCGTTAACTTGCACGGATATATTTCCATCTGTTGGTGCTTTAGATGATTTGTAATTAGAGCTTTCTTTCTAGGTTCAGTAAAATTCCTTTGACCAATCCCAGATATAGCAACATCTTCATTAGTCATGCTTGTAAGAGTTTGCAAGTAATTGATATTTTCATTATATTTTTTTCGTAGTTCGCGATGAAGTGATTCCGGGGCACATCCTCCATTGAAACGACAAAGTATTTGAATAAGTGGTGTTAATTGAACGTGAGGTGAAGAACTAATAGATTCAGGCATGTTGTCGCTAGTACGCATGGCAAACTATTTAGAATAAAAAATATTGCTCTTATATACTAAGAGGGCCTTTGGCAAATCGAATACTTGTCATCCCATCATTTCCTTTTTTACGAATATTTGTATGTAGTCTAAATAATACAGCCAGGACAAATAATAAACCCAAATCCAAAATATAAGCTAAGACAAGCAGTATATCTTTGTTTGGAGATATAGCAGGACCAATAGAAAGGGCATGTCCTCCGTCAATCGCAAAACAAGCATTTACATTTGGAGGAATCGGGCCGTGCAATGGAAATAGGATATTACTGTCATTTTGAGATAATATCACACAAACAAATGAAAATAATATTAAAATTGATAATTTCATTTTAGTAATTAAATTACAATATTAACCCTTATCTTATATACGAAAGGTGCTGAATGAATCGTCTTAATAAAGCGTCACGGGCTTCTGGGGGAATTGAATGCAATTTTTGTAGTGTTGATGAAAAATTATTCTTTGAACGCAATATTAAAAAATAAATACAATAATGGCCACAGGTATCTGATAGAGGGGATTGCAAAGGAAATTTATTTTGTTTTACTTTTGAAAAATTACCAAGCATAGATTGTCTCATGTCACAATTCGGTTCATCTGCAAAAGAGTCAAAGTATTCCACAGTACTCGGATTATCAGAATAACAAGCAACCCAATGTTCACCAACCGTCCCTTTACGCATATTATTTACAATAAAACAAAAAGGCTTAGTCCATTTTTTATTTGGGATATTGTCAGAAGAAAAGACACCAATAAACTTATTTTTTAGAGGTTTATATTTTTTAAGTAGATTTTCGATTTGGAGAGAATTCATTTTAAACAGAACCATCAGTGCTCAGCACACGATCTGCATTTATGGACATTATTGCATCGAATTCGCCCATGATTATCATTTCATATCCCTCATCCTTTACAGGCTGATTGAACATACAACGAACAGTTGTTGTTCCTTGTCTAATGAGTTCCAGCCCATTGGTATCCTCAAGCGTTGAAGTCATAGGTATAACAAAGAAACAAGACGATTGCGCAAATTCTTTCATTCCTATGCTTAAAGTTCTTTGATCTGAATTTGGCCAAGCATCTAAGTCCATACCTACATACATATCAACAAAAGCACGTACAAAGCTGTCGTTGGAAAAATCAAGCTCATAAGGAACAGCTGGAAACTGGAACCCACCAAATTCTGCTGAAACAGTTCGCAAATTCGCATGCTCAAAATTGAACGGAGACAACGCAGTATTTCCAGTATATGCAGGTGCGCTTACAAAACAAATCACTAACCGTCTAGGACATGTACTAGTGAACGCAGCATGTGTAATTTCCTGGCGACCTTTTCCAAGAAAAACGCTCCGAATTTCAATCTTTCTATATGCATATTTTGCAGGCGTCTGTTCTAAATGTCTAGCAATAGCATTATTTAGCGACATACTTAAATCAACTTGTTTAACAAAAATTCTCATATCATGAAGTCGTAGGCGGTATGTGCTTGTATTATTTAATAAATCTTCACCAGCTTTTTTACGATATTTTGGTGCATGAATAAGGAATTCATCGCTATTTCTGTAAAATGTCCAGAGCACATCACTATTAGGTATTAAAAGCTGATTTTGTCTGGCCATATCATAGTCCAAATGCGACAGTAATCTGCAAGTCTGACCTTTGGCAAATCTTGCTGCTCGTGATTTAAACCCTGAACCTTCAAAATCGTTTTTGTCAACTGCATCTTTATAATAAAGTGCAGCCTCATAGAGACCTTTGCTAACCTCACGATCTGCTCCAAGTTCATGAAGAAGTAGACATCTGTATGCGTAATGTATTCCTGAGTCATAGCATTGAATACCATTAATAGATAAAGTTAAACGACGAATCCATGTTAAACCTAAATATTGAGCTACACTAGTAAAACTATCACCTGCAAAATTCCCTGCCAAATCTTTAACAATAGGCACCCATTCGCCAGTTGCATCAACTTTACGTTCAAGAGATAATACAAGACTCAGATATGTCTTACTCAAATCTAAGTAAAGTGAGTCACCAAAATACCGGAAAATAAAAGGACCTGCAGATTGATTAAGTGCATTGAGGGGAAGCAATTCTTTGTATGCGGACCGTTGAATACCAACATTTGTTGATGGTATACTAAAGAAAGTTAGTCGATTATCAACCCCTTCAGT